CAATATGGGATAAAGAAAGTGAATAAAATCTATTACATTATACATACCCATTATTGAAGCAGTAAAAACAAAAAGAAAAAAATGAATGTGGTATTCTAATTCTTCATCCTTTCTGTCCTTGAGAACAGGATTCTCAGTAGTAAGAAAAACAAACAAAAAAACAAAAAAACCATACAATTAAAAGATGAATGATAAAAACTTTGCAAACTTAAATTTGAAATAATAGTATGAACTCATAAGGTGTTTTATCTTAAAAAAAAGTATGTGTTATGCACATACATAGATAGTAAAGGGATTAAAACTATTAATTAACAGATAAATCATTTATGTAGAAAATTCCAGAGAATACACAAAAATACTACTAAAAACTAATAAGTGAATTTAATAGCAAGTTCACAGGATACAAGATCAATAAAACTCTGTTATATTTCTAATAAGAATTAGAAACAAATTTTTTAAACACAATAATCATCAGAAACAACTATTTTAGGGATAAATCTAACAAAATACATACACAGTTTTGTGTATTGATGAGATAAAATCTGAAATGAAGATATACACTGTGTTTATGGAATAGAAAACTGATTATTGTAAAGATGTCAGTTCTTTCCATATTGATCTAGGGAGTCAACACAATCCCAGATGAAATCCCAGCAGGCATTTTTTTTTTTTTTAAAGGAAATCAGTAAGATAAGTTTAGAATTTATATGGAAATATAAAAGACCTAAAATAGCCAAAACACTTTGAAAAAGAGCAAATTGGAGGACTCACACTATCTGATTTCAAGATTTACTAAGAGCTACATGTAATCAAATCCTGTAGTATTTGTAGTATAATAAGAATAGACGTAAACATCAATAGGACAGAACAGAGTTCAGAAATAAACCCTTGCACATATTAGATTAATTTTTAATTAATTTTTGTCAAAAGTCCCAAGGCAATTCAGTAGAGAAAGGAGTTTCAGCTAACAATATTGGAACTATTGGCCATCTATATACAATAAAAGTAATCTCAACCCTTTATACCATATTTTCAAAAATCAGCTTTTAAAATAGATCACATACCTAAATGTAAAACCTCTAAAACTTCTAAAAGGAAACCTGAGCAATTCTTTGTATCTTTTGGTTGGCAGAGATTTCCCAAAAAGGACACAAAATATGAAGCATAAAAGAAAAAATTGATAAATTGGACCTCATTAAAATTAAATTTTCTTTTCCTCAAAACTCAGTGCTAAATAAATGAAAAAACAAAATATGGACTAGAAGGAAATAGTTGCAGAATATATTTGTTAAAGGACCATATCTAGAGTATATAAAGAGCCCACAATTCAATAATAAGGAGATAATGATTAAAAAGTAGCCAACAGGGGCGCCTGGGTGGCTCAGTGGGTTAAAGCCTCTGCCTTCGGCTCAGGTCATGATCCCAGGGTCCTGGGATCGAGCCCCACATCGGGATCTCTGCTCAGCAGGGAGCCTGCTTCCTCCTCTCTCTCTCTCTCTCTGCCTGCCTCTCTGCCTACTTGTGATCTCTGTCTGTCAAATAAATAAATAAAATCTTTAAAAAAAAAAAAAAAGTAGCCAACAATTTCAACATACAACTTCACAAAGAAGAGGTGTAGGGATGGCCAATAAGCTTGTGAAACGATACTCAACATCATTGGTCATTAAGGAAACACAAAATCACAATGAGATATCACTGTATATTTTTTAGAATAGCTAAAAATTTAAAGATCGACAGTTCCAAGTATTGAAAGGATGTGAAGCAACCTGTAACTCATACATTTTTGGTGGGAATGTAAAACAATACAACAACTTGTGAAAAAAGTGTGGCTGTTTCTGATTAAGTTAAACATAGATCCAACAATGTTATATCTATATATTTATCCCAATAATGAAAATATATGTCCACCCAACGGCTTGTGCAGGACTATTTATAATAGGCAAAAAACGAAAGCAAATGCCTTATCAGTTGGTGGATGGCTAAACACGTTGTGGTACCTCCGTACAGTAGAATACTACTCAGCAGTAAGAGAACAATTTGTTAATTAGAATTTCCAGTTCCAGGACAAGTGAATACATACTCTTCCTATTTTTTCTGGTAAGTACAACTAAAACCTTTGGATATTATGCATAAAGCAAACATAAGACAATTTTGACACATGGAAATAGAAAGGCAGATCATCTGGGGACCTTGGTACCTGAGAAATGGTAATGGTGATGAATTCCCTGGGTTTTCTTTTTTGCCTCATATATCCTATCCTGCGTGCTTGAGAAGCTGGCAACCTGGAAACACGAAAGAGCACAGATGAAAAGCCCCAAGAAAGGCTGGTTTTCTTTAGTCAATCAGGAAAGAAGCAACCTATAGCAAGACCAAACTAGAGAGTGACTGCCCTACTTCAGCCAAAAACATTGGAAAAATGGCACTCTGTCCCCACTTTCTCCAACAGAGACTGAGTATGAGCTTAGACTTGCCCCTTGCTCAGCTGTAACAAGGCACACCTCTTGCATCTCCCCACTTTTCTACTGGGGTAGTGTCAGAGAAGGTGAAGACCTAGGCAGTGGGTAAACTTCCATTACCCTCCCCCCGGGCAATAATGCATCCTTCCCCATGTGGTATCAGTGAATGCCTTGTGCAGAGCACTTGTGTAGATCTTGCTCAATTCTTAAGTCTGTCTCTGGAATTTTATCTTTTTAGGTGGCTTTATATATAAAACCAGTTATAATTTCTTTATAGTGATTATGTTTATTGGAAAGCTACTGATTTCAGTATACCACTACCACCTCTTATTTATAATAGTTTTTCAGTTGGTTTTCTTTGACTATAAAGGCATATAGTCTTATCTGCAAGTAGTGATACATTTCCTTCTTTTCCATTTTTATACCACTAATATATTTCTCAGAATTGTGTACCTTGTATAGTGCTTCCCAATCATTTTACAGCATGGCAATATTGAAAATTATATTTTTTAATGTATATTAGCATAAATGGGAAATGCTTTGTGAGGCCAGAGGGGACCAGCCCAGGATCTAACTACTTGTGTTCTGCCAGATGATCTGAGACAGATTGAGAAGAAGCCCTATGCCTCTCTAAAACAATCCTTTAAAAAAAATTCATGAACTTGCTTATTTTATTTCTTAACCATTAGTGGGACTACTTTCTGAGTGTTTCTCATTAAATTTTGCTGGTTTGGGGATTGAAGTAGATATATTTTAGTTTATTAAGGAAGCGTCTGGGTACTCCTCTGTTTTATCAACAGATTTTAGTCAAAAACGGTTATCGAATTAACAAACATTTCTGAAGCATTGCTACTATATGCCAGGCTTTAGAACTAAAACAATGAATAAGGTAAGAGACACTATAGGAAAGAACACAAGTCCAGGTAGATTTGAGCTCAGATATCTGTCTACACTGCATGTACTAGTTCTGTGACCTTAAGCAAGTCATTTAATTATTTTGAGCCTTAGCTTACTTATCTGTCAAGTAGAGCTAATAATAACTGTTAGAGTTGTTAATATTCTTTTAAATAAATTTTTTAAAATATATTTATTTATTTATTTGACAAAGAGATCACAAGGAGCCATAGAGAGAGAGGAAGCTGGCTCCCCGCTGAGCAGAGAGCCCTATGTGGGGCTCGATCACAGGACCCTGAGATCATGACCTGAGCTGAAGGCAGAGGCTTAACCCACTGAGCCACCCAGGCATCCCAGAGTTGTTGTTATTTTAAGAGAGGATTCCACACTTGTGTAGTCCAGTAGGGTGAGACAGACATATTACCAAGTAATTGCACCAAAAAAAAAAAAAAAAAAAAGAGGTGGCATGGTAGAGATGGAAGAATGAACAGTGGCGATATAAATGAGTACTTTGCCTAAAGAGGGACTCAGGACAGTTTTACAGAGGTGACTATTTAAACTGGGCCTTGGAGGATGAGTAGGGGAGGCATAGCACCTATGAAACTGCTTGTTGCATTAAGGAAACTGCCATTTGTTCAGGATAATTAAACCACAGGTGTAGGCAAATGACAGATTGGAGAGAGAGACAGATTGTAGATCATAGGGGGACTATAGTTGCTACCCTGAAGATTTTGAACTTTATTCTGTAAGTGACTGGGAGGTGTTGAAGTGTATTTAGCCATCAGATTTGCTATAATGAGGTGTATTAAGCTTGTAGTTGAAAGTCTCTTTAAAGACCCTTAATCTCACAAAATAAACTGAGGGTTGCTGGGGGTGGAGGGGTAGGGAGAGGGTGGTTGGGTTATGGACATTGGGGAGGGTGTGTGCTATGGTGAGTGCTGTGAAATGTGCAAGCCAGATGATTCACAGACCTGTACCCCTGGGATAAATAATACACTATATGTTAATAAAAATAATTTTTAAAAAAAGTCTCTTTAAGCTATTACGTTTGAGGAGAGCCTGAAATAAGGCAGTGAGACAAATTGAGAGTAGATGACAGATTTGAAGAGCATAGGTAGAATTAACAGGACCTAGAGGCCATTCGGACTATCTGGAGAGAAAGGATAAATAGCAATTCCCAGGGTCTTGGGCTAGGAATAAAAAACACTCTAAAAATTACCTGGATAGGTTCTGTACTTTTTTCTATAGAAAAACACAACTTGTCTTGAATATAAGATTTTACAAAGTTTGGTGAGGTACATCACAGACTGATGACATGAGCACCATAGATGAAAGTCCTATTCATTCTGTAGGGCAATAAGGAAAGAGCTAAAGGAAACCTAACTGTAACCGTATTGATAGACTTAAAATTAACAAGGGTCTGAAAAAATTTTAATGTGATTGCAGTGTTGATAAAAATTTTATGTTTGGCATTTTAGTGTTTTTAGGGTTTTTTAACTGCAATCCTGGATTTGCATTAGTGTTTACATTTTATAACTAAATTTCATTTTTGTGAAAATGATACTAAGAAGAGTAGTCAATCTGAAATAAAATGTATGTACAAAATGTTCTAAAGTATATTATTTATTCACTATTTTTCTTCTATTCTAGTTACCCTCTCTGGAAATGGAGAAAATGGTAAGACACTTTAAGTCTCAATTTAAGTAGAATACTTATGATGTCCTAATTGTGACCCACATGCTTTTTATTTAGTGATGACTATATGTGTTTTTGTTTTCAGAAAGAAAATATGTTTTTAAAGTTAATTAAAAGGAGATCTAGTATTGTGTTTATTCTTATTCAATATATTTTCATTTGTGTTATTTATATAAATTAAAATAGCTGTTATTTTGTAAGGCATCTAGCACCCAAACTTCTCTAATATATTTATGTACATATGTATGCCTTGTATATTCTTCAGAATGCTTGATAGTAGTGATTCAAAGGTTTTTAATACCAGTTCTAGCTAGGGGTTGAGGAGCAGATTTTGTTTCATGATGCCTAAATTTTATCAGTGGTTCTCTTATTTATATATTTGTTAAAAATAGTACATTACTACTCACAGATATTTAACAAAATAACTAGACTGTAAATTTATAAACTGTATTACTAGTTCATTTTGAAAGGGAATTCTACTTTTTGTAAGGACTAGGTAATGAGATAATGCCTAGAGGGAAAAATTCATTGCTCAGAATTTCACCAAGCTAAAAGAAAGTATTAAGCCTGTTGAGATCAAATTTCAAAAATGAAATTTGACTTGAGATATGAAAATCCAGGGGATTTCTAAAACAGTTGAATAGTTAGAAATTATTAATATTTATTCTTATTGGAAATAATTAGGCATTAAGCATGTAAATCTCAAGTTGCCTTTGAATCTGATTTCTCAATTCTAGCCAGGGTTGAGGAGGAATAAATATAGACTCCATCTTGGTAGGATTGATTTTCTCCCTTTAAATCAAAACTGTTTTCTGTATGTGAAAACACATATACAGAAAGCAGAGAATTTCTGAAGTACTTATGAAGGAACATCTAACTTGTCTCATTATTTCTTAGAGCTGTTTTCCCCATGTCTTTCAAAGAGTCTTTTGACAAGGTTGTTTGCTTTTTTGTTTTTTTTTTTAATTCATTTATAGGTGATTTTTTTTTTTTTTATAATTTATTTGACAGACAGAGATCACAAGTAGGCAGAGAGGCAGGCAGAGAGAGAGAGGAAGGAAAGCAGGTTCCCCGCTGAGCAGAGAGCCCAATGCGGGGCTGGATCCCAGGATCCTGGGATCATGACCCGAGCTGAAAGCAGAGGCTTTAACCCACTGAGCCACCCAGGTGCCTCATAGGTGATTTTTTAATCAGATTTTTTGATTTGTAGATTCAGGGTTTTTTTGGCTTTGATTTAATTTGCTTCATTAACTAAGCTTTTATCACTTCTTTTTTTTGTTGTTGATCATAGTATTTTTATTTTGTAATCTATGCTGCACTTTTAGCTATATCCACTTTATTACTTCCTTTTTTTAAGATTTATTTACTTATTTTAGAGAGAGAGAGAGAGAATTGCCTGAGTGGGAGAGGCAGAGAGGGAGGGAGAACCTCAAGTAGATTCCGTGCTCGGCACAGAACCTGACACGGGGCTTGATCCCAGGACTCTGAGATAACAACCCATGCTGAAACCAAGAGTTGTCCTCCCAGCTGACTGTGCCAGGCAGGCACCCCTTTATCTATTATTTCTAACCAGTGGTTTATAGCATATATATGTGATCAGAAGTTTTCTTATTAACATTTCAAATTCATGTAAAAGCAGTATTTCCTGTTATTCTTTACATTATAATTTGATATTTTCCATTGGTTAAGTACTTATTACATTCCAGGCATGATGCTAAGAGATTTATCAGTTGTTTTTTTTTAACTGAGGATTAAGATTTTTTTAAAGCAGACAACCATTTTGTTTTTGGACCTGTGGAGAGCAGAAATACTCTAAAAATATTTTAAATGTCTTAAAAAATATTTTTTAAGTATATTATTTAATATGCTGACCTTAGTTGTAAATAACTAAATGATTAAGAAGTTTAAAGTACCTCAAGGTTACCATTTATCTTGAAGCTCTGCAATAGACTACAGATGAGGATTGACAAACTTGATTGAATATGAGGGCCAGGCAAAAATTTTAAAAAGTGAAGTGAGCTAGGTGAGGATAGTATTGCAAACTCGGTAAATGACCTCAGTGTTCATATAAAAGTAGGAGACTGAGCTCCAGTGTACTTGTCCAAAGGAAGATCAAATGAAGGAATGATATTGAATCCATTAAGTAGACCATGAGATTCACCCTGGAGAGAATGGAGACAGTAGAGCATGCAGATTTTGAGAAGCCAAAATTTTCAATGAGGATGATAATCAGCTTTAGTGGACATGAAAAGAAAGCAAATTTGAAGATAGAAGGAAGTTTTGGTAAGGATTTTGTCTTGGTATCAGATATTGGCTCTGAAATAAGATGTGACGACTAAGATGATGAGTAAAATGGAGGAAAAGATACTTCTAGGTATGACATAATGAAAAGAACCTTGGGTTTTTATCAAGCGGATATGGGTTTGAATCCTGACTTTATCGTTTACTAAGTGACATTGGGCAGGATATTAAATTCTCTGCACCTCAGTTTTCACGTTTGTAAACTGAAAGAATATCTTACAGGAATACAGTGAGGGTTAGAAATAAGGTCCACATCATTATATACCTTCTAATAGGCCTTCAGTAGGTGGAAGTAGTGATTTGATTAGCTGTGGTCAAATATGGTACCAGGAAGTCCCAGTGTTTTATAATGTATTCATCAGTCATGAGTCATACACATGGAGTTATTTCCCAGGAATATCACAGCCAAGGTGGAGTAGAAACTATGAACAACACATTTATACTGGCCATTGAGATGGACTGGAGGGAGGAAGACCAGTTGCCTTTGCAGTGATCAAATGAGTTAAGCAACAGTTTATGAGCTGTTACACTGGCAGTGAAAATAATGAGAGAGGAACTAGAATTTGAGGAGCTTTGTGATGATCAGCTGTGTGATGTGAAGAGTTACTGGGCCCTGGCTTCCTGTGGGACTTGTGGTTCTGTTCTCTTAGACCATATGTGCCCCAGTGTAATTGTAAAAGAAAAGGCTGGGTCCAACAAGTTGTTGATTTTTTTTTATCATTATTTTATTTAAAAAGAACATTTTTTAAAACCAAAAGTGAAAGGAGAAATGACCTCAGATGAAAGGAAGGATAATACTTTGAATTGAATACATCTTAGATTTATAAAAACTTCACTACCTTGTTCTTAGTGTCTCTCATTTCACTGTGAACCAGTGAAAACTTTTATGATTCCTTAAACTTGGGAAACATGGTAATACAGAACATGCAAAAAGAACCAGATTTTGAGAGGAAAGGTTCTTGGATAGTTTTGAGAGGAAAGGTTCTTGGATAGTAATAATAATAGTAGCCAGTATTGAGGTGCCTGGCTGGCTCAGCCAATAGAGCGTGTGACTCTTAATCTCAGCGTTGTGAGTTTGAACCCCAGTTGGGTGTAGAGATTACTTTTTTTAAATGGCCAGTATTTATTAAGGATTAATTATGTGCCAGGCACTGTTTTAAATGTTTTGCATGTATTAGGTCATCAATATTAAGCAACTAACTTTAATAAAACAAATTCAGTGCTTTATTTGAAGTCTGAGCATATTGAGGGGCAGTATAGTATAAAGAGGTAATGAATTCTAAAAGTAATGGAGAAGGGTTATGTGCAAGAAGTAATATTTGATCTGAACTTAAAAAATGAGTAGAATTTCAAACTTCGAAGCTTGTGTCTGCCTTGTTTTCTTCAGTGGATTTGTAGGTAGGTGCCTCATTCCAAACAAAAAATTTAAGCACCTGGTAGATAGTTCTTTCTTCCTATAGAAACCAGTCCTGCTTCTTTCAAAAAGAAAAACTATAGAACACAACAAAAAGCTCTAAGTTATATCAGTAATGAGTTAATATTTGGAGTTAAAGATGTTATAATGTTTACACTAATCCACTTGTGAAACAGTTATTGCAGAAATTTTAAATGGCTAAAAATTTTTCATTAGCCTATGTTGAAAGGAGAATGAAATCTGGCATAATGTTTCTGGTTAATCCAGGAACTGAGTTTTTTAGATTACTCATTATTCACAGTGGTGGGAACTTCCTTTATTACTTTCAGTTTGTAGTTCCCTGAATTTAACATTCATGGTGATGGAATCTGTCTTAAATAATTTTTTTTGGTGTTGGAAAAAATATGGAAGCCTCGTGAATTTGCGTGTCATCCTTGAGCAGGGGCCATGCTAATCTTCTCTGTATCGTTCCAGTTTTAGTATATATGCTGCTGAAGTGAGCACTGTCTTAAATAATTTTTAAGTCATTTAAAATACTGGTAGGAAGAGCTTTAAATTTAGTGAGTGAAGGAGGTGTTTCAACTTAAATGTTCAGCAGTTCAATAATATCAAATCCAGATTATAGTCTTTACTTATAAACCAGGCTGATAACCCTTAAATACAGGAACTGAATGTTTCTTCATATCTGTAATGGTAGGTCATTCAAATAAAGGAGTTTATAAATTTGATGTCTTTGGTAGGTTTTAATTAAGGTATTTATTGGATTAAGCCTCCTGACCCTAAATATTGTGTTTTAATGTAATGCTTTTTCCTGTTTTCACCTGGATTCAATGAAATGTTATTTGTTTTTATTTACCAGGAAAGGCCGTTGTTTACCTTGTGGCTTTCCATCTGTTCTTTGTTATGTTTGTATGGTCCTATTGGATGACAATTTTCACATCTCCCGCTTCCCCCTCCAAAGAGGTAAATTTAATGTTGGTAAATTACCAAATGCTATAGCTAATTATGGAATTATTTGCCCTGTGTTACCTTTGTTAAAACTTTACTACATAATGCATTTGTTCTGTTTCCGTTCATGAACTTGCTTGGTGACTCCACATTGTGAATGTGAGTCATCAGCCTGGTCTCAGATACAACCCACTGACTTAGCACACTAAAAGACCGATCATACTTTACTTAGTACTGGTATTTTTCTGCCATGCTATTTAGTCTTAAAGACATCCTTTTTTTACTGGACTAAAAAATCTTAAGGGACAGAATTGAGTTAGAATAGTAGAGTGTATATTTGAACACCTGAACATATTTTCTCAGGCCTAAAGAAATATGCTGCAACTAGAGAAAGTTTTAATTGTGGGAAACAAATTGTCTAGGCTATTGTTTGTTATACTTTATTTTTTTTTTTTTTTAAAGATTTTATTTATTTATTTGACAGATCACAAGTAGGCAGAGAGGCAGGCAGAGAGAGAGGGGGAAGCAGGCTTCCTGCAGAGCAAAGAGCCCGATGCGGGGCTTGATCCCAGGATCCTGGGATCATGACCTGAGCCGAAGGCAGCGGCTTTAACCCACTGAGCCACCCAGGCGCCCTGTTTGTTATACTTTAATATGACTAATGTTTCTTCTAATTTGAGGTTCCATTGGGAAAATAATGTAAATATTTATGTAGAGTAAGTTTTAAGACCAGGATGTTTCTCTTGCCTTCATATAACTGATGAAATCTGGTATAATTAGATGGCTAAGAATGTACCCTCTGGTGTTAGGATTATCTGAGTTTGATTTTCTGCTCTAACATATTACTTAATGTCTCTGAGCTTCCATTTTCTTATTGGAAAATGGAGCTAACAATAGTGCCTATTTCTGTAAGATGTTTGTGAGGATTAAGTGATATTCATTCACATAAATCTTTTAACACAGTACCTGCCACATGGTTGGTAATCAAATATTAGATGATGATGATAATTATTTCTACTCATGCAAAATTCATCAAAATTTGTTAAAAATTATAGACCATATGTTTAAAATAATATCAACTTCCATTTAACTTTTTATGAAACATATATACAGAAGAGTATATGTAAGTGTACACCTGATGGATTTTCGCAAACCTAACACCCTTGAGCAACCACCACCAAGTTGAAGAAACAGAACATTACCAGCATCTCATAAGCCTCCTCATGCTCCCTTTCAGCCACACAAATCCACTTTCCTGCCTCCTAATAGCATCAGTTTGTTTTGCCTGGTTTTGCCCTTTACATAAATGGAATCATATACTCTGTGTGTTTGTGTCTCTGGCTTCTTTCATTAACATTGTTTGCATGTTCATCCATGTTGTTGCATGTACTTGTGGAGCACTCATTCTCTTTATTGTTTGGTATTCAGTTGTAGTAAATATTAGTTTATTTAACTGGTCTGCTGTAGATGGGCAGGGGCATTTGGGTGGCTTCTAGTGTAAGGCTGTTACAAAGAGGGCTGCTATAAACATTCTATTGCATATACCTATGTATATACTTAAATATATACATCCATACATAAATGTGTATATATATGGATATATATAGTTATATAGTTATATATCCATATATATATAGCTACATATACATATATATGTATATAGTAGGTGCCTCCAATTGGAATGCTGGATCATATTTTGTGTGTACATTCAGCATTAAGTAGAAAATGCCAAAAAGTCTTTTGCCCATTTTTTTTCTATTGGGTGCTTTTGTTTTAAGGGGTAGTGAAATTATCAATCAGACTTTGCATTTCTTAAAATATATTTATCAGACATTTGGTAATAATTAGTCAACTCTTAAAGTTATGTTACAAACTGCCTTCCCTATCTTTTTTTAAGATTGATTTATGTTTAGAGAAAGAGCACATGCATGGTGGCAGGAGAGGGCAGAGGGAGAGAAGCAGACTCCTCGCCAAACGCCCAGCACAGGGCTCAATCTCATGACCGTGAGATCATGACCTGAGCTGAAACCAAGAGTCGTTCGCCTAACTGACTGAGCCACCCAGGCGCCCCTCAAACTGCCATCTATGTCTTAAGATCCAAGTTGAAAAGGAACTAATTTTGTTTAATTACTTATTACTAGTGATGGCTATTGAAAACATAGCATGAATGGAAGTAAATACTTCTTGTTATGGGAAATAAAAAATAGAAAAAGAGGGGTGCCTTGGTGGCTCAGTCATAGGAGAATACAATTCTTGATCTTAGGGTCATGGATTTGAGCCCCATGTTGGGTATAGAGATTACTTAAATAAATAAACTTTTAAAAAGTATAATAAAAACAATTGGTAATACTTCTGAGAAGCAGTATAGTATAGAGGTGAAGAACTCAGACTCTGACATCAGACTGCCCAGGTTCAACTCCTGCCTCTGCTACTTACTAGCCTTGTGGCCTTGGAGACTTGCCTTAGATGTCTGTACCTCAGCTCTCTCCTGTAGAATGAGGATGATAGTAGTACATACCTTATGGGATTGTTGGAAGTATTGACTAAGTTAATAATATATATGGTTAAAAAAATAATAATATATGTGGTTAGTAATATTTATAATAATGATATACACTTAATAGTATATGTAAAGTGCCCAGAAGAATACATTGCACTTAGGAAGTGCCATTTAAATGTTATTTATTTATTTTGGTTGTTGTTTGTCATATTGCATCCATTCAGCATTCAGCCGAGGGCTTAAGCCTTTACATCCACTTCATCCTTCATGCTCCCCTATTCTTAGAAGTTCGGCTGATTCTCCAGGCCTATGTTCAATGGCCCTGCTATGGCATGCTCTTGCCTTCCCCATCATAGAACCTAACATATAGTTTCTTAATTGCCTCTTGACTTGTATACACCATCTTATTGTCAGTTTTTTGTGGGCAGGGATCATTTTTATGGTATCCTGTACTACATCCCTCTCCCCACTATTTAGCACATAGTGGATGTTCACTATTGAATGAATTAATTATCAAATCATCAAGGGCCCGCTAAGTTAAGCTGCACTGACAAGAAAGAGCAGTATTTTATGGTTCTCTTTCTAAATAACCTTCCAGTGTGCTGAGATCGCTCCTTGTAGTAATTACAAAGCTGTGAGGTAGCTCCTAAAGTAACTGTATTAAAAGGACTCTGTGAGCTGAGAGGTTAGAGCAACACTTGGGAATCAGACCCAGGGAAACTGGTTGAGTCTGAATAGCAAAAACTCTACATTTTTAGGGAAGATAAGTTATAAATATGGTTATATTTTTCATCTTTTATCAGCAAGTACTTGGCACCTACTGTTTGTCAGACTGTGCTAGGCTCTGGGAATAAAAAGAACAAAAAAGAATGATCCTAAACATTTTAAAAGGAGAGACAGATGGTAGACAAGTAAACAAAGTAATTATAAATTGTGATAAGTTTAGGTACTTTTAGAATAAGAACATGATGATGTGGTAACAATAAAATAACAATAAATAACAATAAAGTAACAATAAAAGCAGGGGAAAAAAAACTACTTTGGTAGTATGGTGAAAGACATCTCTGAGGAAGTGGCATTATTAAACCAAGACTTTTTAAAGTATCTCTTTCACTAAAGTATTAGCTTTTTGAAGGAAGCATCTTTGTTGTTTATTGCTGTATCCCCATTGCCTAGATTCCAACCTTGTATGTAAGAGGCAGATTGCTAAATATGTGAATGAGTGAATGGTGAGAAGGAAGCAGTATGGGAAGAGCTGGCAGGCATCTTCCATCACTAAGTATCACCAGCAAAAAGAAATTATGGCCCCATCACTTCTCTGGTAATCCTACAGAGGTTGCCAGTCAGCTCTAAGATAAAGGTCATGCTCACAAGACCCTTCATGAACTAAAATCTTACTAACTTCATCTCCACTGCTTCTTCCTGGAACTCGATAGTCACGTAATATTTTGCCCTGACTATACCATTATATTCACATCTTTGTGCTTTCTGAATGCTGCTCCCTTTACCAAGATTCTCTTTCCCTCCTTGTTTTCCTGGAAGATTCTTGTTTACCTCTCAAAACCTAGCATAGGTATCACTTTCTCCAAGAGACTTTCATTGATAGTCCCTCTACCCTCCTAAGGGAGCTTTTATCATACCTGGTAACACATTGTACTATGCTTATTTTTAAGATGTATTTCTTTATTGACATAGCCAGCGTTCCTACTGGACTGTAAGAAATGTGCTTTTGAAGGCAGGGCTGTATTGATTCTTCTATGGATTCCTATTATCCAGAGCAGTGCCAAGTTCTTAATTGGTAGCTAACATATATTTGAATTGAACCATCTGAACACTGAATTTAAGATGATGGCATTTCATAGTTTGAATTCTGTTTTGTAGTTTTTAATGAAAACTAGATGTATAGTAATAATTTACTAAGTCTAATCCATTTTAAATTTTGTTCCATTCCTCATCTAAAATTCTGGTGGCTCTTAAGATTTTCATTTTAAGTTTTTCATAATTTATAACATTAGTCCTTAAGGAAAAGTAATGATACGGAGGCTGGGATACTACCATAGGCTAGAAATAGGACAGCCCTATGTGAAATCTGTTGAGATTTTACAAGGAAACTGTAAAATTTGATTGGAACATCTATCCATATATGTATTTATCATCATACCAAATGATTCTTACACTCTACTGTGAGTGCTTCAGAAACACATCATGTCAGGGAATAACTTTTAATTCAAACAAGTTAAAGTTACAATTCTCTTAAAAGAGAATAGGCCATTTTGTTAAGTAGGGAAGTATTTCAGTCCTCGAAGTATTCACGAGGGAGTGGATCTCAGAAACGTTGTCTGAAGGTTCCTACCTCCCTAGGAAGTTACGTAGGTGATGTCCAAGATCTCAACTTAAGATTATGGGAAACTTTTCTGACCTCTTTCTGTTCAACTTAAGATTATGGGAAACTTTTCTGACCTCTTTCTGTTCTGTTTGCCTGTGTTACTTCTCATGCCTTAGAAGTAATTTGGGGGTTTCTTATGCCATCAAGATTTGATTTTGGGAAACAGACAAGGTAACCTAAATAGACTCTTTTACATCCTAAACTGTGGTGTTTGGTCAGGTTAGAGTAACAGTCTGTAAAAAGCCGGAACAGTTATTTTACATTAGCAATATGGAGGGAGGCATACTAGAGTAAAACTCAAAACACTTGCATTTTAATATCAGCTCTGCCAATAATTGTGCAATCTTAGAAAATTCCCTGAGCCTCTTGGCATCACAGTTTCCTCAGCCCAGAGCTCTTTCTACTATGCCAAACTGTTGCTTTGTTTGGCATAGGATAGGTTGCACTGATAAACTAATACTGATGATGAGGCATCAAGAGTATGGAAAGCTTTGGTAGGGAGTTAGCAGGCAGGACGAAATACTTGAATATAAAAACTCCATTCATGACTCTTTAGGCCTTTTCAAGCAAAACCTTGCTTTTAATTGAAAAAAAAAATTGAGAAACAGTACAGTTAAAATATAGGACATGATCAAGAAAAATCTCAAGCCATTTTTAGTTTAAAAGGAAATTCTGTGAAGTAAAGACTAAAAGAAACTGAAAGCTTCTGTTTACATGAAATTAGAGACATAAAACTGAGGGTCCTTGAGATGCTAGGAAGACGACAAGAGGAGCAACTATAAACAAGTTCTTTGTAAGGAAAATGCTATTTAAGAAATGAACTGGAGGCTGGCCACACTATGGGAATAAAAACTTAAGAAATGGAAATAAAAAATAACTCCATAAAGGTATTACTCTTTGAGAAAAGGAGACTCTGCTTGCCTTGACAAGCCTTTATAATTTTACAGAAAGCACTCCTATTGGTTAGCTTTTTAAAAGCTGAAACAAAGTAGTAAAAGAATGACTTGTTGAGCTCATTGATATATTTGAATAGAAGATAGCTGGACCCTGTGCCTGTGGTTTAACGTCTTACTCAAACTAAGTGAATCTTGGACATCCTTCCAAAAATTAAAAATTTCTCGACACTAATTTTCAAACATCAAAATTTTTACTAATAGAAAATATATGTATTAAACCTTTTTTGTTTGGGGGGGTATTTAATTTTTCTGTAAAATACAAAGATGCAAAATTTTCTAGTTCATATTTTTTCCCATCATTAATATAGAGGGCAAATATTTTTTACTCTGTCAAAGAAAGGTATGAAGTTTTAAAATATACTCAATTTCGCTTCTTTAATTTGAAAATAACTTTTGCCTTCATGGAAGAAAATGTTTTTGTTTTTTTTCTGTTCAGGATGAAACTGTGTTTTTCTGAACATAGTTTATGAGATTGAAAAGAATTAATAGTTTTCTCCTTTTATAGTTCTACTTGTCCAATTCTGAAAAGGAACGTTATGAAAAGGAATTCAGCCAAGAAAGACAACAAGAAATTTTGAGAAGAGCAGCAAGGGACTTACCTATCTATACCACATCAGCTTCAAGGAGTAAGAAAAATTAGTCTTAAACTTTCCTTTCCAAGGAATTTTTAAAATATGGTTAATCCTTCCAAGATACATCTGCATGATTTGACAGTTAAATGATATTGTGATTGCTACAGATAACATCTGCAAGAATAAGAATAAGATAACATCTGTGTTCTGTATCTTCTGTGCTATTTCAGATATACACACACATGTACATTTATTGATACAGATTTTTTTAAGAGGCTCACTGTGAGCCTATTTTCTCTGCATTTTTTTTTTTTTCCAATTGAACCTCATCGTTAAAAATGTCACTTGTTATTCTTAGCAAACCATCATTTAGAAATTCTGGTCTGAATTTGAATATTGTGTGTCATCACAGAGTCATTTTTTAAAAAACAAGAATGTGCTAACTTAGAATGGAGAGGAGTAAAAGACTCAAGGGGGAAGAATCCTGTCAAGTTTTAAGACCAGTACTCAGAGAGCCAAAATTTGAACTCAGGTTTATCTGGTTCCAAAGATGTTGGTATTTCCACTCTCCCACTGCCTACCTGGACATAGGTGACTGCTGCAGCACTTTCCTTTTCTTAGGGTGACAGTCTTCCAATAGGAATGAATTTATGAGTGGCCATTGTAGTGACTTAAGTATAGGAAGTTGTTTTAAGTTATATACTGTGTATCTCATGAGTTTTGTTCAAATATGGGATAATATAATAGCTAATAAATTATTCTGTTCTGAATGTTTTACACATATTTGTTTATTTGTCAGAGAGAGAGCACAAGCAGGCAGAGGGAGAGGCAGAGGGAGAAGCTGAGCAGGGAGCCTGATGTGGGACTTGATCCCTGGACCCCGGGATCATGACCTGAGCAAAAGGCAGAAGTTTAACCCACTAAGCCACCTAGGTGTTCCACACATACTCATTTAAACTTCATAACAACCCTGTGAAGTAAATACTACTGTCTTCATTTTACAGTTGAGGAAACTGAGACACAGGTTATAACTTGTTCGAAGTCATATGTGGAAAAATGGATTTAAATCTAGGTGCTCTGGTTCTAGAACCCACTATGCTGCTGAACTTCAAGGGGAAATAAGAGGAGTTTTACCTTTAGGTGCAAGTTGTAGCTAAGGAATGTGACTAAGTTTGTACAAGATTTTAGGAGGGGGGTATTTGACTAACTTTTATTTTTTTCATGCACTTAATACTATTCTTTTTTGCATGACTAATACATTGGTGTACATAACAAAAACATGAATTTCAAGCCAGACCCTAGCTTTTCCATTACTAGTGTAGTGAGAGTCACTAACTTTCTAAGTTCTTGTTTCCTTATTTTGTTGGGTTTGGGGGGGGGGGCTTTTATTGAGAGCGTGCACGTGGTAGAGGGCAGAGGGAGAGCAAGAGAGAGAATCTATTTTTTGAAGATCTTATTTATTTATTCATGAAAGACAGAGAGAGAGAGAGAGAGGCAGAGGGAGAAGCAGTCTCCCCAATGAGCAGGGAACCCAATGTGATACTCCATCCCAAGACTCCAGGATCGTGACCTGAGCCAAAGGCAGACACTTAACCATCTGAGCCAACCAGGCACCCACAAGAGAGAGAATCTTAAGCAGTCTCCATGCCTGGCATGGAACTCAATGTGGGCTTAATCTCACAACCCTGAGATCATGACCTGAGCCAAAATCAAGAGTCAGATGCCTAACTGACTGAGGCTCCTTTGTTTCCTTATTTTGAAATGAAGATAATATCTGCATCTTTGGGTTAGTAGAAAAATTTAATTAAATGAGATATATGCATTTAGTGTAGATCTTGGTATATAATAATAAATTTTCAGTAAATGATAGCTAATATAAAATAATCCTTTTTTATATTCAACAATGTAAAGTCTGAATTATAATAATTATTTCTACTTACAGTTATTTAGGTTAGATGTTCTTAACCCAAAGTCCAAGACTTCAGAGAATTTATGAATTCGGAGATAATATGCAAAGTTGTGGGTACATGTAGTTTTTATACCAAGATAATTCATACCAAGATAATCTGATTTTCAGAGCAGTATGTGTGCCCCTCACACACAAAGAGTTAATAGCCACTGATGTAAAATCTTTACTCTTAAGGCTTTATTATTTTTCATTAATTATAATGGCTTTCCTCTAATCTGAATAATACCCTTCATCTATTCAGTATTATACCAGAATTATGCTAAACACTTTACTGGTGATTATTTAATCCTCAGAAAAACTCTGAGGGAGGTGCTACATTTGTCTTCATTTTAGAGATGAAGAAATGAGGCACAAATTAAGTTCCAAAGTCCCCAAGTGATAAGATCTGAGATTTATAGCTTACCTTCCTTTTTTTTTTTTTTTAATTTTCATTATTTATTTATTTATTTATTTAAAATACAGTGTTACTAACTATAGTCACCATGCTATACATGGCATTCCTAGAATGTCTTTTTTGGGGTTTGTTTGTTTTTTTAAGATTTTATTTGTTTATTGAGAGGGAGGGAGAGGGAGAAGCAGGCTTCCTGCTAAGTAAGGAGGCTGATGCAGGGCCGGATCCCAAGACCCTGAGATCATAACCCAAGCCGAAGACATAGGCTTAACCAACTGAGCCACCTAGGTGCCCTGTATAGCTTACCTTCTGACGATAGGCAAAGTCCCTGCTCTTGAGCACCATTTTATACTGCATTTCTATTGCTTAGAATTCCAAACTTTGGGAGTTTTATCTTTTTTCTTATTATAGAAATAATATCCATTCATTCTTTTAAAAAAATTTTACAGAAATACATATTATAGAAAGTAGACCTTTCGTAGACCAGAGACAAATGAAAATGATGGCGCCGTCTTCACAGGGAGGAATTGGGGGCTGGGAAACAGGGATAGGGAGGCTTTTCACCTGGTTCCTTTTTGGGCTTTTTTGAACCATATGGACTAATTATTATCTATTCAGGAAACAAAATGAGTCTTTCTAGACCTTCTCCCTCCATGGTGTGGATCCAACCAATACCTCTTTCGAGCTTTGTCCCACACTGTTTCCTTGCATCAGTTCTGTGCTAAAGCACTCTTATCTTTCCCCGTCTTTTTAATTGTCTTTTTCTCTACGACAATTATTTTTTCCTCTCTAAATCCAGTTTAAAGTTTTAATTCAGTGTCTGCTTCTTGAGCAAGAAGTGATTTTTATTGTTTTTAATTTTTAAAAGATTTTATTATTTATTTGACAGAGAGAAAGACAGCGAGAGTAAGAACACAAGCAGCAGGAGTGGGAGAGGGAAAGCAGTCTTCCCACTGAGCAGGGAGCCCAATGTGGGGCTCAATCCCTGAACCCTGGGATCATGACCAGAGCTGAAGGCAGACACTTAATGACTGAGCCACCCAGGCGATGCTGATTTTTTTTTTTTTAAGATTTATTTATTTTAAGGAGAGAGAACAAGCATTCATGTGTGTGCCAGGGTGGAGTTGGGGGTGGGCGAGGTGCAGAGGGACAGGAAGACAAGCAGATGTGCCACTGAGCAGGGAGCCCAACATGGGACTCCATCCCAGGATCCTGAACTCATGACCTGAGCCAAAATCAAGAGTCAGTCACTAAGTGAGCCACCCAGGTGCCCCAAGAAGTGATTTTTTTTTTTTAAAGTCTGCTCTGAACTTCTCTAATTCTTACCTTGTAGGTCACAAATCACTGCCTCATAGTTATTTCTGTTTATCTCCCCTCCTCGACCTTATTCTAAGACTCTGGCAGTCAGGAATTTTTCCCATGGCCTCTAACAAAGTGTCTTAAGACATAGGCCCTCAGTAGGTGTTTGTTGAATGAATCTCTTCCTGGGTTTTCTCCATAATGGCTGTTTATGCACTTTTTGCGTGTCATTCTCAAGCAGAGGCAGTGCTAATCTTATCTGTATTATGCTAATTTTAGTATAAGTGCTGTAAAAGCAAGCACTGTTTATGCACTTTTAAGTCTCCCTTGTTTTCTCTCCTTTACTGGTTTTCCCCATCATAGTCTGAATTTATATTTTATCAGAAATAATAGTTACTATTATTATCCTAGTAACACCTGCTTTATTGAGAATCTGATATGTTTTAGGAGTTTTATATTTAATCTGCGCAATAGTCCTTTACACTTGGTATTATATGCACTTACCAAAGAGAAAATTGAGGCTCATGGAAAGTAAGTTACTGCCCCAAGGTCACAAGCTAGTAAGTGGGAGAGCTAGCATCCAGCCTAACTGGTGACAGAGTCCCTGCTGATTTCAGGACCATGTTGTGCCACTGCACCTTTACAGACTGGCTTTTCCAAAGCATATCAGTTTCCTCTTGGTATCTGTGTTCACGTCCTTTCTTTTTCGTTTCTTTTCTTTCCTTCTTTTTTTTTAAAAGATCTATTTATTTATTTGAGAGGGAAAGTGCAGGGCTCAGGGGGAGAGGGAAAGAGAGACCCAGCACGGGGCTCCATCCCAAAATCCTGAGGTCACGATCTTAGCTGAAGCCAAAATCGGTGGCTGCACCACCCAGACACCCCTGGTCCTTTCTTATATTTACATAAAGATTACTGACCTTTTTCTTCTCTTCTCCCCCAGTTTTCTTCTAGAACGCTTGCTTCTCCACTTAATAAATCACAACCAGTTTCTTCCCTTCATTCTCAGGTATACATCAAAGTATATGTCTCTTAAAAACAGCAGTTTGGTTCAGACTTTGTTCTAACCACCATTATATTTTCTCTTCCCATTGAGTTAGATCCTCTTATAAGCTTTCTGCACCCAAGTCCTCTTTTTCCTTCCCAGCTAAATTCCAGGCAACTGGCTTCTATTCTCCCTACCCAAAGTTCAGTGGCTCTTGTCATTCTGGCTTCTTGAAAAGCTTTCTTTGTTGTGCTTTACTATTCTAGTTCTATTTCTGCATCCTTGAATGATTATTCTTTCTACTAAATTTTTTAAAATTTTTCTTTTTCTTTTTTTTCAAGTTTTTTTAAACTATTTTTTTTAAAGATTTTATTTATTTGTTTGACAGAGAGAGATACTGCAAGAGAGGCAACACAAGCAGGGGGGAGGCGGGAGAGGGAAAAACAAGCATCCTGCCAAGCAGGGAGCCCAATGTGGGACCTGATCCCAGAACGCTGGGATCATGACCTGAGCTGAAGGCAGATGCCTAACGACTGAGCCACCCGTGCACCCCCTTTTTAAAGACTTTTTAATTTATTTGACAGAGAGTGTTACAGCTAGAGAAAGAAAACAAGCAGGGGGTGTGGGAGAGGAATAATCAGGTTCCCCACCAAGCAGGAAGCCTGATGTGGGGCCCAGTCCCAGGACCCCAGGATCATGACCTGAGCAGAAGGCAGATACCTAATGACTGAGCCGCCTAGGCACCCCTTTTTAATTTTTGTATTTCTTAACCTCACAAGGTTGCCTTGCCTTCATTCTTTTCATACTATTATTTCAGCTTTTCTTTTCACCTCTGGAACTCTAACACTAGGATATTGTGATCCTTAGTTTATTGTTTCTCAGTTTGTTTTCTTTGATAGTTTTTAGGAATGCGTTTCACTTTTTTGAATCTGAATTAAAACAGATTCAAGGACATTGTCACACTAGCAGTTACTTGCATTCCAAACCCTTTCTTGTGTGTCAGACAAAGGAGTGGAGTTGCAGCTGCACCTGGGGATCACTTGTCCACCTAGAAGCCTACAGTCTAGCTGCAGGAGGGCTGCAGCACTCTTCCTGATGTTTCAGAGGGAAGAACCTGCAGACCTGTCCCCCAGAGCACCCAGTAGCCATTATTCAAGGCTTCATCACTCTTCTTGCCATGTGTCTTCCCATTCAGCATCTCCAGCTGAAGTTCATTTTCTGGGATAGTTGCACTGATATATCAGTTTATTTTCTACGTACATCCATGGGACTAGGTAAACTTGGAGTCCTCCTACTCCATCATCTTACCTGGCTCCCACCAGAATAGCTGTCCTTGAGTGTCCTATTACCCAAACCTACAAACCCAAATAAAACTGGATTCATCAATTCAAAATTTAATACCATCAAGTGATATTTGTCACATGGTAGAAACTCTCTAAATATTTCTTGAATGAATGAATGAGAGAATGAATAAATGAAAAACATCCAGCCCCACTCTCCCTGCTTCTCCCAGACTGAGTTTATTTCTGCCATGAGCAGCCTTGTTCATCTCAGCACCTGAGACTAGAAACTGAAGTTTGCTGATTACTCCTTTTTCCTTGGTTCTTCTGTCTACTCAATCATCAGAATCCTTCAGAAGTCTTCCTCAAAGGTCTGTTCAGTTTGGTCTCCTCTCAGAGCAGAATTCTCATCTCATAATTTTGAGTGGAAGTATAGAGGAAAAAGAAAATCAATACTCCTGATCCTCATCTTACCACTAATTCAGCTGTATATAGCCTTGGGCAAATTACTTTCTCTTGATATTGGGGTGTTTTTTATCTATAGACTGGAGAGATCGACTAGGAGATTTGTACGGTCCTATATAAGTTACTTTTTCTACATTGTGTGGTTTTATCTCCTTAGTATGCAACCCAGGTGAGGTATTATAGAACACACCCTCAGTAGATTATAGCTTATTCATTTAAGTGGCTATTTATATAGATTCCCTTCATCTTAAAGATATTTTTGTTGAGATTATAGGAGTAATACCTGCCCATGATTAAAAAAAAATTTTTTTAGGACACCAAATGAAATGTGAGGGGCATCTAGATGGCTCAGTTAAGCATCCAACTCTTGATCTCAGGGTTTGACTCTTGATCTCAGCTCAGGTCTTGATCTCAGGGTCATGAGTTCAAACCCTGCTTTGGGCTCCACACTGAGTATGGAACCTACAAGAAAAAAAGAAAGAAAAGTGAGTTTAACTTCACACCCGCACTGTTTTCCAGGGGCACCCTGCATATCTTTGCAGGAATTTTTTATACTTGTCAGAGTATTGCATAACTTATAACATGACTTCAAAATAATACTTTATTTCTCTTATATTGTTAATTCACATCTAGAAGGTGGATGCATCTTATTATGATATGTAAAGAGATAAAAATATGTATTCTTATTCCCCTTAGAGATGTGAAACATGCTACATATTCAGATGTTCAACAACTTGCTCTTTTTTCTACATGATATATTTGCATTTTTCCAACTTAGGGTACATGTGTATTTTGTATGAAAAATTCTTGTTAATGTCTACATAGCATTCCACTATATGGGTGTATCAAAATGCTTAGCCATTTAGATAATTCAAGCTATTAATAGTGTTATATTATTCAAAACAGTGCTGAAGTGAACATGTCTATAGAATTTTCTCGAAGTAGAAATCCTGGGTCAGAGAACACATACATCTTAAATTTTTATCGATATTGCCAAATTTCCTTCCAAATAGATTGTAGTACATGACATGATTCATGTACTTTTTAGAGGGTATGCTTAATTTAATTTTTTATTTGAACCTATTTTCTACGCTATTACTCTGTTGTTAGGATCACAAGTAACAGGCAACAACTTAAGCTTTTTAACTCCTTTCACCCCAAAAAGCTACCAGAAAATATGAAACGGTATCAGAAATTTGTGCATTTTCCTGTATCTTAAGGACAGGATTACAAGAAGGGACTGGAACCCAGAATTGGAAAGCTAAAACTGGGACTCTGTGCAGCTTGTTTCTTCTTATTTCTGTATATTTGTTTCATTTTTAACACTATCACCCAGCAGACAAGTTTTAATTTTTTTCCAATTCAGCTGGCAAAATATCACCATCACATGTTATTACTCAATTACGGCAGCATGCAGCCATAATTCATTCTCAGTCCCAGTGCTTAATCCACAGGAGAGAGAGCGCCAACTAGAAGCGGGGAGGGTGGAATGCACACACTCACTTCCCAGAGAAGGAGAGAGTGACTTATAGATTAGGCAGATATCCTGAAAGAAGCCATTTCAAGTAGAGTATTTGCCATTTCAGTGCTCTAAATCTATAAATGTTTCAACTATTTGTGAAAGGCCAATAGTAATTTGCCTTGTTGCCAAGCCAGTACAGTTTGCTTTAGAGAACAATTAGTGTCTAACTATAAACATGTTGTTCTCTATTCATCTATAATAATAGTTTTTAAGGTACTTTTTGATTTGTGAAGTTTTGGGACATTTCCCTCATGAATCTCAAAGATCTATTTGTCACTTATTTAAATTTCAAAAACCGAAACTTAAGGTTCTGTTCAATATACAGACTCTGATGGAACTCTTATTCCAGTGGACTCCTTCTCTTGAATTTTTTTTATCAGAGTACTTGAGCTGAATTGGGAAAACAAGTCTTACTTGATCTGATTTCTTGTTAATCTCTGACGTCATCCCCGAGTCCTTTTCACCCTGTTCAGGTACACCAGGCCCTTCCCTATTCTTTAAACAAACTAAGCACACTCCCACCTCAAGGGCTGTCCTCTGCCTAGAATCCTCTTTTCCCCAGTGTGACTTACTAACCCCCTTCCTTTAATTTCAGTTTTCTCAAATGTCTTTGAAATTACAGTATACAGTATACCAATTCCCCTTCCCTGCTTTATTTTTCTTATTAGCACCTATCATTAATATTCTGTTTATTTTGTTAACTTATTTATTACTCCTGATCTCCAAAAGAATGTAAGTTCCACAAAGGCAGGGATTTAAGCCTAGAACAGTATCTGGCACAAAATAGGTGCTCATGTTTTGAATGAATGAACATATAAATTGGGCAGCAATAACATATGTTAGAATTGAGTGGGGAAAAGTTCAGGGTTTGTTTTTATTTTTTTATTTTTTGTTTTGTTTTTAAAGATTTATTTATTTAGGCCTTTTGGCTAAGATCAAGTGTATTTATTTATTTGACAGACAGAGATCACAAGTAGGCAGAGAGACAGAGGGGGAAGCAGGCTCCCTGCTGAGCAGAGAGCCCTATGCAGGGCTTGATCTCAGGACACTGGGATCATGACCTGAGCCAAAGGCAGAGGCTTTAACCCACTGAGCCACCAGGCACCCCTTGGGGTTTGTGTTTGAAAATGTGGTCTCAGTTTTGCTATTTGGGATAGGGATGGGAGATAAAAGGTTATGTTTTTGTTTTTCTTGAAAAAGCTATTTTATAATGTTTAAAACAAAATCCCATGGGGTGCCTTGAAACGTTTAGACACTTCATTTTTTATATTTTATTATAGACACTGTATTATAGTAGGAAAAAGAACTTGAATTGGGACTCCGTAACTCTGAGTTATGCTACCTAACTGGTGTTTGACCTTGTTGAAGTCACTTACTTGCTCTAGATTCTCTTTTTTCATCTGAAAACTGCTGGGTACTATTCTATTTCTGAGGTTCCCTTCTACCTCTTGACATTTTGATTTCAGAAGCTTTTTAATACACTTTGGTATTATTTTAAAATTATTAGTTGTAAATTTCACAGAATTATTTGTAAAAGAAATGAAAACAAATTTTACAGTCAAATTAACTAAGCTTGCACATCCTTCAACAATTTCCTTTTAATTTTTAAATGTAGCCATCAGATACTGTGAAAGATGTCAGTTGATTAAACCTGACCGGGCACATCACTGCTCAGCATGTGACGTGTAAGTATTACTTGTTTGTTTCTATTTAACCCTAGCACCAGAAGTTGATGACAGGAGAATGGAAGGGGAATGGAATGCTTTATACTTAGCAAGAACATTGTATCCTTTCCCTTTATTTGCTATGTTTGCTGGGCTAACAAAAATATTTATATAAGCTAGAATATACCTTGAAGTAATCTTGGTTAAGAGTTACTATACTGGTTGATAGAATATACTTCTTACACTTACATTTAATTTAATATTGATAAGCAAATAAGTAATAACCCCCTTGAGTAGTAATAACCCCCACTGAGGGAGATAACTTTATTTCTTAGGTTAAAAAGACGGTCATGGAAAAAAAGACGATCATGACACTTTTCTCTTTTTTTTTTAAAGATTTTATTTATTTGACAGAGAGATCTCACAAGTAGGCAGAGAGGCAGGCAGAAAGAGGGGGAAGCAGGCTTCCCACTGAGCAGAGAGCCCGATGCGGGGCACGATTCCAGGACCCTGAGATCATGACCCGAGCTGAAGGCAGGGGCTTAACCCACTGAGCCACCCAGGCACCCCACTTTTCTCATTTTTATTGTTAATATTAAAACCTAATTATCTGCAAAAATACTGTTTTCAGTTACTGTCTGTGACATTGTTCCCAGAAAATTCTCTCTCTCTCTCTCTCTTTTTTTTTTTTTTTTTTTTTTTTTTTTTTGGTGCCCTTGTCAGAGGGTAGTGTGTTAAAAGAAAGATTCATAGTTTGGGAATCTCTACTGGTCCTTGAACTTTAGTTGGACAGGCTATTTAACATTCTGGATATTAGTTTATTCATTTCCTATATTTCAGCAGTCACTTCTTATCTGCCTGGGGATCTATTCCAAGACCCCCAGTGGATGCCCAAAACTGGATAATACCAAACCCTACATATACTATACATACATAACTATGATACAGTTTAATTTATAAATTAGGCACAGTAAGAGATTAACAATAATAGCTAATAATAAAATAGAACAATTATAGCAATATATTATAATAAAAGTTATGTGAATGTGGTCTTTCTCTCAAAATGCCTTCTGCTATACTCATCCTTATTGTGATGAGATGAAGGGAGGTAAATGACGTAGGCTCTGGAACACAGCATTAGGCCACCGTTTACCTTCTGAAGTATGTCCGAAGGAGAATTATCTGCTGCTGGACTACGGGTGACTGTGGGTAGCTGAAACCAGGGGAAGCGACTATGGATAAGGGGAACTGCTGTATTTGAAATGTTCTGTGGTCTAACTTCATACAAATCTAGATTACTTGTATTGGTGAAGAGGTAAATTTGGAGGTTTTTTTTTTTTTATTGTAGAAGTACAGTACTGCTTATCCAGGGAATGCAATTTTGTAAATTATGTGGAAAAAATAACCATCTATAAGCCTATCATTATTAATATTTTAACATATTTGCTCCTAAAGTTTTATGTGTTACATATTTTTAGTATTATGTGTTTTATGTTTATGTGTTTTATGTGGTTAAAATAGCATAGGGATTTCTGTATTTCATTTTATCTTCCTCAGCTAATTTGTAAGCTGGACCTATCTAATTTACCTAGTGCTATGTGTACTACATCATATTAAAATGTCGTTTGGTGTGGTTCAAGGCATTTGGCTATGCTCAGCTGAATTCCTAGTATTAAAAATCATCTAACTATAAAAGGCCTTCTGGAAATACCAGAACTTTTCTCTAACCTACTGGGTTAGTTTTTCTTTACTTTTTTTTAGAGAAGGAGGCAGGGGGAGGAGAGGAGAAGGGGAGGGAGAGAGACCATCTTAAGCAGGCTTCACACCTAGGATGGAGCCTGATGCTTAACCCATTGAGCCACCCAGGCACCTCTGGGTTGGTTTTTCTAAGATATTATTTGTAAAGGTAAAAATTTAAGCCAAAGAAAGAGAAAATTATCAGAAATTAGAATTAGGGGAATTTTTGTGCAAGGATTTTCTTATGTTTATTTGTTTTTTAGATGTGTTCTTAAGATGGATCATCACTGTCCTTGGTATGTATAAAAAAAGAGGAAATTACATTGGGGGTGGAGAGGTGGGAAGGAGAGAATTGAGAGTAATTTATCTCAGCATTCCCAAATTTTGAGGGTCAGTTTAATTACTCGATTACTCAAGATTGATCTGGCCCTATTTATATGCATATTTATGTATGTACATGTTTATATTAAATGTATTCCTTTAAATATATACTCTGATGTTATTAATCCAAGTAAGTGTATATTAAGAATTAACATTAAAATTCCAGATTCCCTCATGAATTTATTAAAAACACATATTCACAATTAAGATACTGCTCCCTACTTCCCAAATGAACTATTTCTAAGTAATAATATTTTTTATCTGCCATATGTATTGTTTTTATTTATTATAGTTTTAAAATAACATTAAAACTTACTGTCTTAACCATTTCTAAGTGTACAGTTCAGTAGTATTAAATATGTTCATATTGTGTAACAATCTTCAGAAATTTTTCGTCTTGCAAAATAAATTTCTATACCCATCACAGCCACCCCCAGCCCTTGGCAAACATCATTTTGTTTTTTGTTTCTGATAGTTTGTGATTTATCTTATTTTTACAGTGTGATTTTCTTTATTTTTCTAGGGTGAATAACTGTGTGGGATTTTCTAATTACAAATTCTTCCTGCTGTTTTTATTGTATTCCTTGTTATATTGCCTTTTCGTGGCTACAACAGTTTTACAGTACTTTATAAAATTTTGGACGGTAAGTCTTTTTTCTGTCTTAAAACATATACATAAAACTTTTTATGATGATATATTCATAAAGAATTCATTCATTCCTTATTATAAGTAGATAGACTTTATTTCAATTTTACTAGGTAGAATTTATGATGGATCAGAAAGCAAATGGGATTACAATTTACCTTCATATGTTTATTTGTAAATAAATGGATATTAAATAGGATATAGTAAACTTTTTTTAGTGAGTCAAACTATTTTCAGCAATATTCTAACAATAGACCTATCAATTTTAAGGAAGTAATTGCTTTTACTTGAGTTGAAGAGACTTACTGCAGTTTTACAGTAATAATAGTGAAATTGCAAATAGCCCAAATAACCACTAATCCGGTTCCTGCCTCTATAGATGTTAATCCTTTTTCTATCATAAGTTGTGTTTTTTTCCACATTTTTAATTTATATCTTATAACCCTGTTTTCTTTGATTTTTATTAAATCAAAGTTTTATATTTTTAAAGCAGTGTTTTTATAATTTCTTTTTTTTTAAGATGTTATTTATTCATTGTAGAGAGAGTGTGTGCATTGCATGCACTCGAGCAGGGTGGGGGTTGGAGGGGGAGGAAAGGGAGAAGCAGACTCTGTGCTGAGCACCAGCCCTACAGAGGGCTCAACCTCATGACCCTAGGACCCTAAGGTCTGACCCCAGCCAAAATCAAGAGGCAGATGCTCAACCAACTGAGCCACCCAGGCACCCCTAAAGTACTGCTTTTAAATAAATAATCAGAAAATCAGAAATCAAAGGGGCACCTGGGTGGCTCAGTTGGTTAAGTGTCTGCCTTTGGCTCAGTTCATGATCCCAAGGTCCTGGGATCAAGCCCTATATCTGGCTCCCACCTCAGTGGGGAGCCTTCCTCTCCCCCTTCCTATGCTCCTCCCGCCCTGGTGTGCTCTCTCTCTCTCACTCTGCACTCCCTCAAATTAATAAATAAAATCTTTTAAAAATTAAAAATTTAAAAGCAGTACTTTTCATTTATGATTTCTGGCTTAAGTCTATTCACTGTATATTTACACAATATTCACCCAGGTTTTCCTTTGGCATTTTAGTTGTTTTTGTTTTCACATTTAAATCTTTGATTTTGAAGAAGGCATTACTGTGGTCAAAAAGTACTTTGTATTTACTCTTCCTAACGATCCTGTTAAGAAGTTTTAAAATGTAGGTTTTATAATTGAACTGTTCAGGTGTGCTGAAGCCAGCAGATCGTGAAGTGATTACTGTTGAAAAGATAGTTTGTTGCTCAGTTTCTGAGGGAAGGGTCATACCACGCCATGAAGGACCACACCGGCAGGGTAACCAGATTTAGGTTAGCCAGTTTGCATAGTATCTGTGGTCCCTGGGCATAATGGTTGTCCCTGGTTATCTGTATGTATCCTTGGAGTGGTTAGGGCAAGGAAATTTTGCCTCCTGGAGTGTAATAGTCAGATAGAGGAGGTGATATGGAATATGAACTCTGGATTGGTTAGTTTTTGTATGAGAGGTTTATTCCTTGCTATCACTTAAGGACTGGATAGCTGTGGGAAAGTCGGTCTCTCTCCAGTCAGCACAGCCTCAGATGCCAGAGCATCAAGAATACAGAAAATAAGGGGGACCTGGGTGGCTCAGTTAAGCATCCAAGTTTTGATTTTGGCTCAGGTCATGATCTCAAGGTTGTGAGATGTTGGACTCTGCACTGGGCATGGAATCTCCTTAAGATTCTCTCTCTCCCTTTCCCTGTGCCTCTTCCTGCCTGCCCCCACTCACTCACTCACTCTGTCAAAAATAAAAATAAAAAAGAATACAAAAAATAAGAAAATATAGTTAATGCAGAAAGAGTTGTTACTACCCCAATTTCCAAAGTTGAAAACTGAGGTTAGAGAAGTTAGGAAACTAGCCAGAATTTGAACACAAATATCTCTATTTCAACATCCAACTACTTTTCACTGTGAGTTGCTATTCATAGTCATACTTGGGAATTACATAATTAAAGCCTTAAGTCATCAAGCACAATTATTTTTCCGAGAAATATCTAATACTTTTTAAGGACTGTCACTAACACATTGTTGAGTTTTTAAACTTTGGGTATTTAAAACCCAGGGTATGCTAGTACTTACGGTGCCTTTGTGTATGTTAGAAGAGAGTACCCAGTTCTGTGTGGTCTCAGCCCAGTGAATTTTGGGTTCTGCTCTTCCCCTAGTTGTAAGTATCTTTGTTCAGTTTACAACCTACTTAATCCTACTCAGTGGCCCTATTTAAATGAAGAGGATTCAGTGCCAGATGAATAAAGTCTAAACTATAACATTTCACATTTCTTTACCAGAAACTTCAGCAGTGTTTGCATATAGTGATTTATTAATTAAAGAATAAATATTTTGGGGGTGACTGGGTAGCTCAGTTGATTAAGCATCTAACTCTCGATTTCGACTCAGATCGTGATCCTCAGGGTCATCACATTGAGCCCTGATATGGGTTCCACACTGAGCATTTCCAGAACCTTCCTAGGATTCTTTCTCCCATTCTTTCTGCCCTTCCCCCACTCATGTGCATGCTCTTTCTGTCTCTAAAAAAAGAATATTTTTAAAACTTTTTTCAGATTTATCATAATAAGGAAAGACTAATAAACTTAAATCTTTTTCTTCAGTTAACAAATATGTATTTAATACCTACTATGTGCCAGGCAGTGTTCAAGGCACTTTGGATATATCAGTGAACAAAACAGAGTCCTGTTTTTATAGAACTTACTTTTGAGAAGAGGATGGCATATATGCATAATAAATAAGTAAATCCTATTGTGTATTAGGAAGTAAACACTGAAAAATAGTAAAAGTAGAGTGGGATAAGGGATGTGGCAAGTGTGTAGGGGTGAGTATGACAGGGGCAGATAGAAGTGCTAAAGAGAGTGATAAGAATAGACCTGCCTCAGTAAGATGATCAGATTTGAGCATAGGCATGAAGGAAGTTAATGGACACATGGGAGCACCTAGATAAATAAAGCAAATATTAACAGACCTCAAGGGAGAAATTGAGAGCAATACAGTAATAGTAGGGACTTTAATACCCCACTTTCATCAATGGATAAATCATCCAGACAGAAAATCAATAAGGTAGTTGGTATTAAAATGACACATTAGGCCAAGTGGACTTACTAGACATATAGAATACTCCATCCAAAGAAAAAGAAAACACAGTGGTATAAAACTAGAAATCAGTTACAAAAAGAGAAAACTAGAAAACTCAGAAATCGGAATGATCTAAAGCAACCTAACTTCACATCTCAAGGAACTAGAAGAAGAACATACAAGCCAAAGTTAGTACAAGAAGGGAAATAACATACCAGAATGGTGGGTGCCTAGGGGGCTCAGTTGGTTGAGTCTTTGGCTCAGGTCATGATGCTGGAGTCCCAGGATCAAGTCCCGGGCTCCTTCTCAGCAGGGAAGACTGCTTCTTCCTTTGACCCTCCTCCTCCTCATGCTTTCTCTCTTATTCTCTCTCTCTCAAATAAATAAATAAAATCTTTTAAAAAGAAAAACAAAATCAGAATGGAAATAAGTAGACACTAAAGAGACAATAGAAAAGATCAGTGAAAGAGCTGGTTTTCTTAAAAAGATAAAACAGTCAAACCTTTACCTAGACTCACAAGAAAGAAAGAGGACTCAAAATCAGAAATGGAAGAGAAAACATATCTAATGCCACAGAAATACAAAGGATCATAAGAGACTACTATGAACAATAATACAGCAGCAAAATGGACAACTTAGCAGAAATGGATACTTTCCTAGAAAATACAACCAAGACTGAATCATGATGAAGTAGAAAATCTGAAGAGATTAATTGCTAGTAAGGAGATTAAATCAGTAATCAGTAACTTCCCAATAAACAAAAGTCCAGGACCAGATGGTTTGGTAGTGAATTCTACCAAACATACATACATACATTTATTTATTTATAAATAAAGATTTTTATTTATTTACTTGACAGAGAGAGAGACAGCAAGAGAGGGAACACAAGCAGGGAGAGTGGGAGAGAGAGAAGCAGGCTTCTCACAGAGCAGGGAGCCCGATTCAGGGCTCCATCCCAGGACCCTGGGGTCATGACCTGAACTGAAAGCAGATGCTTAATGACTGAGCCAGGTGCCCCTCTACCAAACATTTAAAGAACTAATGCTAGTCCTCAAAATCTTCCAAGAAAATAGAAGAGGGAACACTTCCAAATTCATTTTATGAGGCCAGTATTACCCTGATACCAAAAATGGACAAGGGCATTATAAGAAAATAAAATTATAGGCTTTATATACTTGTTGGCCAAAGATGTAAAAATATTCAAAACAATATTAGCAAGCTGAATTCAGCAATTCATTGAAAGAATCATACACTGTGATCATGTAGATTTATTCCAGGGATGCAGATATGGTTCAGCATCTTAAAACAATCAGCATGACATACCACATTAACAAAATGAAGGAAGAAATATGATCATCTCAATAGATACAGAAAAGCATTAGATAAAATTCAACATCTATTTTTGGTAAAAATTCTTAACAAAGTAGGTATGGAGGGAATATATCTCAACACAGTAAAGACCTTATATGACAATCCCACAGCTAACATCATACTCAGTGATGAAAGACTTAAGGCTTTACCCCTAAGATTAAGAAAAGACTAGGATTCCCACTCTTGCTATTTATTCAACACAATATGTATTGGAAGTCCTAGCCAAAGCAATTAGGCAAGAAAAAGAAAAAATTCAAGTAGGAAAAAAGTAAAGCTGTCTCTATTTGCATAATACATAATATTATATTTAGAATACCCTGAAGTCTCCACCAAAAACTATTAGAACCAAGAAACCAATTAAGAGTAGTTGCAGAGTTCAAAATCAATTGCATTTCTATACAGTAGTAACAGACTATAAGAAGAGAAATTAAGAAAGATAGGTGAGAGACCTGTACACTGAGAACTATGAGAGACTGATGAAAGCAATTGAAGGCACAAATTAATGGAAAGTTAATCTGTGCTCATGGACTGGAAGAATTAACATTGTTAAACGTGAAGAATTAATATTGTTAAAATGTCCATACTACCAAAAGCCATTTACAGAATCAGCGTAATCCCTAACGAAGTTTTTCACAGAAAAACTTAGACATTTTCAACACAGACATTTTTTACAGAAATAGAACAAACAGTTCTAAAATTTGTGTGGAACCACAAAAGACCCCAAATAGCCAAGGCAGTCTTGAAAAAGAACAACAAAGCTGGAAGTATCACACTTCCTGATTACAAACCATATTACAAAGCTGTAGTAATCAGAACCCTGGTATTGGCATGAAAACAGACACATAGACCAATGGAACAAAAGAGACAGGCCAGAAATAAACCAATGAATCTTTGGTCAGTTAATTTACAACAAAGGAGCCAAGAGTATACCGTGGGTAAGGGTAGTCTCTGTAATAAATAATGTTGGGAAAAATGGATAGCCACATGCAAAAGAATGAAACTGGATCTCTATCTTACATCATAACAAAAATCAATTACAAATGGATTAAACACTTGAACATTAAGCCCTGAAACCATAAATCTAGATTTTAAAAACATTAGCAGTAAGCTCCTTCACATTAGTCCTGGTGATGATTTTTTAGATTTAACAGCAAAACCAAAATAACAAAAGCAAAAGTAAACAAGTGGGACTACATTAGTCTAAGAAGTTTCTATACAGCAAAGGAAACAATAAAACAAAAGGCAGCATACTGAATGGGAGAAGATTGCAAGTCCTATATCTGAGAAGAGCTTAATAGACAAAATATATAAAGAACTCCTACAACTCAGTAGACCCCCCTCCCAAAAAAGGAAATTAAAAAATTGGGCAGAGGATCTGAACAGAGATTTTTCCAAAGACATGGATGGCCAGCAGGTACACGAAAAATTGCTCAGTGTCTAATCAGGGAAATGCAAATCAAAACCACAGTGAGATACCAACTCATACCTCTTAGAATGGCTGTTATCAAAAGATAAGAAGTAGTATTGGCGAGGATGTGGAGAAAAAGGAACCCATGTACTGTTGGTGGGAATATAAATTGGTTTAACCACTGTGGAAACAGTATGAAGATTCCTCCAAAAATTAGAGCTACCATATGATCCAAGCAATTCTACTTCTGGATATTTATCCAAAGGAAATGAAATCACTAACTTGAAAAGATATGTGCGTGCCCTATGTGCAGTGCAGCTTATTTATAATAGCCAAGACATGAAGACAACCTAAGTGTCCCATCAGTGGATGAGTGGGTGAAGAAAACTGTGTGTGTGTGTGTGTGTGTGTGTGTGTGTATGTGTACATGTGTGTGTGTATGTGTACGTGTACGTGTACACAATGGAATATTACTTGGCCATAAAAACTTAGGAAATCCTGCCATTTGTGATCACATGGATGGGCCTGGAAGACATTACACTAAGTGAAACAAGTCAGAGAAAGATAACTGTTTTTGTCACTTATGTGGAATCTAAAAAAATTTCTTTTGAACTCCTAGATAACAGATTGGTGATTGTTGGGGCAGTGGGTGGGGGATGGGTAAAGTGGATGAAGGTGCTCAAAGTAACATGAATAAGTTTTGGGTATATAATGCACCATATTTGGTGACTATAGTTAGGTATATTTGAAAGTTGCTAAGATAGTACATCTTAAAAGATCTCATCACTAGAAAAAAATTTTTATAATTGTGGTATGGGTGTTAACTAGACTTACTGTGACTTTTGCAATTGTACATATTGTGACTTTTGCAATGTGTACATATACTGAGTCATGTTTTACACCTGAAACTAATAAAATGTTATATGTTCAGTTGTATCTCAATTTTTTAAAAAGAGTGTGATCAGGGTAGATTTTCAAAGGTAAGATTTGAGCAGAGACTTAAAGGGAGTTAGTGGACATTTGAGAGAAGAACATTTTTGAAGAAACATCTGGAGTTTGGAGCAAAGGCCCCAAAGTAGGAGCGTCCCCTCCATGTTTGTTTAACAGCAAGGAGGCTAGCTAGTTTGGCTGGAGTAGAATGAGCAAGAATGGGATTAATGAGAAGTCCAGGCAGTGGGCCTTGGAGAGTGTTGGAGGACTGTGTCTTTCGTGCCTCAGTGAAACGGGAGCAGAGGAGTAACATGGTCTTAATTGTAATGGATCACTCTGATTACAGAGCTGAAAGTAGACTGCAGGTCAAGTGACAGCACCTCTTAGAAGGCTTTTGCAGTCATAGTGAGTGAAGGTGATAAGTTTTCAGAGTTTTTAGAAACTGCTAATCAGAAGTTTTTAAATAAAAGCTATTTGCTAAAAAAATTAATTTTCTTTCCTAGATTTAAATGTTTAAAAAATAGAGGGAAAGTATATATTTAAAGTGTACCTCAAATGTGCTTGAGGAGCTAAATATTCTTTGTTTTTGTTTTGTTTTGTTTTGTTTGTTTGTTTGTTTTAGGAGCTAAATATTCTTGTCTGTTTTCACTTTTGTGTTTTTGGAAAAAATGTTGTCAATGACCTTTAGAAAACAACATCTCAGTGTTCCTTCAAAACAAAAGATTTATAAAACTAGTGTTCAGGATAATTTTGTATAAAATTTGGTTTCTTAATACATTATCTCTGTTTGTACAAGCTTTGCCGCAGGAAATCTACAGAGGGTTGTCCAAAGGTAAAATAACATTATTGCCATGCCATTCTTGTGACAATTTATAGTAAATATGTATAATATTCATTTGCTTCACAAGATGGGAAGTTAAAAGAATTGCTTGGTATGTTTAAAAGGCACTGTGGTTACTCTGGGAGAGAAGAGTAAAAAATATATGTCAGAATAATCTAATGCTAAAAACCTTCATTTTATCCTGTAAACTATGTTTAAATCAATCCAGGACCACCTCATGTTCTAGTAGAGTCTGTAATTTGCCCATGTGGTTTTATTTTAACACTTAAAGGCTTCCTCTTTCTCCTATTAATAGATACTAAGATTTTGCTTCTGTTAAAATGAATATAGCCATAAGAAAAGGGGTAACAGCAAAGCTGTTTTCATTCACTAATACCTTGTGGTAAATGTATTTACCAAAACTGCTAATTATCCAAAATAAATAAATAAATAAATAAAAAGTGTAGGGATTGAGTAAGGGTAAAAAAGGTAGGGATTGAACAGCTGAGGGCATGGGGATATATGCTGGGGTCTTCCAAAAATAGAAATTAAAGAAATACACAAATTTATCACAATTAGTATCTGGTTAGCAACATTTATAATTAAAATAAGCAAATACTTTAGCATATATCCTGGATATCAGGGAAAGCTTATGAATATATGCATAAAGTACAAAAGAAAAAAATGAGTTAAAATGCATCTTTTTTATTGACTATATTACTAAATTTTTTTAATGTTTAAGAGTAATTTTTTTAAATGACCCTTTCAACATTTCATACAAGCAAGCTCCTTTGATAATGCCCGTTTTCTGTTTTGGGAGATGTTGCTTTTGGATTTATTATCTAAATTTATTCTTCATATCTGGCAAGATTTTTGGTAGATTCAGCAGTCTTTAGGAAGCATCAAATAACAATATACTTTAAGGGCTGACTATTCTAAAGTTAACTCTTCTTTCTTCCTTCCTCAGAATGAACTCTCTGATACACGTGCGAAGTTCCACGTACTTTTCCTTTTCTTCGTGTCTACAATGTTCTTCATCAGCGTTCTATCACTTTTCAGCTACCACTGCTGGCTAGTTGGAAAAAATAGAACAACAATAGGTAAGTAGGCTAAAAGAAATCATAATTATTTAGGAAAATGACCACAAATGACTATGAAATCATGAGGACAATAGTCAGATGATAAAGAAATAGAAAATCATTCTGTATTAAGGTTTACTGTAACTAGATAAGAACAATTGGTATATAATAAATGTAGAGTTTCAATATTTTGAAGATTGAGGATGTGAGATTGGCATTTGCATGTATTTTCAGTAGTACACTATATATAAAAGAACTATATAAATTTTATTTTTTTAAGATTTATTTATGAGAACAAATAAGCAAGCAGGGGGAGGAGCAGAGGGAGAGGGAGAAGGAGAGAAGCAGGGCTCAGTCTCATGACCCTGAGGATCATGACCTGCACCAAAACCAAGAGTCAGTTGCTTAATGGACTGAGCCATCGAGGCACCCCCCGCCACAGCTTATCTTTTAGCTAAAACGTATTCTTTAATTTTTCCTCACCTGTGATTACACAGTGACTGGCGTGTTCCCTGATTGAGGCTAAGGAGTAGCATTTTTGACATGGTTAATCATTTCCATCTTTATGTCAACTATACCACTAATATCAGCATTTATTTCCTTATTTTGCTCATTTTTAAAAAAGTGAAATAGAGGGGGAGAATTCATTAAGGTATTAAAATAATTGGACAAACATTTCCTAAATAAAGGTGGTATGACATTAACTCAAACTAAGCTATTAGCCTGTAAGTGGCCACTGTGCTATAATTGAAATATTTCAGCATTGGCTAATGTATATACATCAGCCAATCAGATACAAAATAGGAATCTGTCACATTGTTTCATAGGAAAGTCAAAGACTCCTTGACATCTAAAGCCATATGTCTACCAGAGCAATTGGAGGCAGATAGATTATAATACAGAAAGATGAAGACATTTTAGGGAAGCTTTCAGATATGTTTATATTTGGATTATTTTAACTTTGTGTCTTACTGAGTCATATAAAAGCATGATGGGCTCCAGGGTAGGGATTTCTGTGCCCTTTCTTCTCCAGCTCACTCTCCATTATGGAATTCTCCTCTAGTTCCATCATGCCTTCATCCCTTTTCTATGTAAATAAACTTTCTTGTATTTAGTAATTAATTTGTTATCCTCTTCACAGAGTACCCTGTCATCTCCTTACCTTTACTCATCAATGATAAAAAGCAGCTTACATGCAAAGTCTAGCCCTTATGAACTATGCCAATTAAAAAGGAAGAGATTTCACATAGAAAAGTAGATTTCTTTTCAAAAATTGCTAAGTCTGGTAACAGTAGGCCCATGTTCTGGGGCGCCCGGGTGGCTCAGTAGGTTAAGCCCCTGCCTTCAGCTCAGGTTATGATCTCAGGGTCCTGGGATTGAGCCCCGCTCTCTGCACGGCAGGGAGCCTGCTTCCCCCTCTCTCTCTGCCTGCCTCTCTGCCTGCTTGTGATCTCTGTGTCAAATAAATAAATAAAATCTTTAAAAAAATAAAAAACAGGGGCGCCTGGGTGGCTCAGTGGGTTATAGCCTCTGCCTTCAGCTCAGGTCATGATCCCACAGTCCTGGGATCAAGCCCCGCATCGGGCTCTCTGCTCAACAGGGAGCCTGCTTCCCCCTCTCTCTCTGCCTGCCTCTCTGCCTAATTGTGATCTCTGTCTCTCAAATAAATAAATAAAATCTTTAAAAAATAATAAAAATAAAAATAAAAAACAACAGTAGGCCCCATGTTCCTATATGGCATTCTTCAGTTGGAACTGAGTAGTAGCTGACTGCTTTAAATGGGAGCCTGAACACTTTAATTTGCCATAGTTCCAAGCCTGCTTCATTTCCTGCCTAACCCCTTAGTTATGAGAGAGGCGTACTTTATGGGAAACCTAGTGTTCTCTTTAAGCAGTATTCTTCTCTCTAAGCAGTATTCTTCAGTCTTTTTTGCCAGTGACTACAGTAAGAAAGGCATAATTTATATTGTGACCTAGAGGATACACATGTTTATAAAATTATATAAATAAAATAGGCAAATATTTTCAGAACATCATTAATCTCTACATATGCAATGTACTATAATATTTTCGGTTTTAGTTTATTAAAAAGAAATGCTGGTCACACACACACACAAAAATAGATGTGAAAAACACCTTTTAAGGTGTTTTAACCCTTATTTTGAAAAAAGTACCATGGCACACCACCTCCTTTACAGCTCACCTTCCACACCCTTGGCCCTACCTAAGCTGGTTCTCTGCTGCTCCTTCCAGAGTTCTGTTCAGATTCTGTCCTTGGAGAACACTTTCTGTCATCTCCACCCTTCTCCGTAACTGTCCCCTACCTACCTTGAGACCATTTCCCCAGTTTAAAGAGTTTCTGTATTCAAACAAATGCTATTATCCCAAACAGGCAAGCTGCTTCCTTTGATGCTCATGGCCAATCTTTACCATAAATTAAACACTGAATCTTTTAATCTCTTGGAACTGAAGAGCACCTGAAATTGTCAATTTGATCTTTCCATTCTCTGGCCACTCGTCATCCTTGCAGCTCTCTTTTTCTGTACTCCAACTGTATTTCATCTTTTACACTGCCTGCATTCTCCTGGTCTCATTTCTCACCTTTCCCATCCTAGATACTGTAACAAATGACAACTCTTTTTAAAAGATTTTACGTATTTATTTGACAGAGAGGGATAACAGGTTGGCAGAGACCTGACGTGGGGCTCGATGCGGGGCTCTATCTCAGGACCCTGAGATCATGACCTGAGCCGAAGGCAGAGGCTTAACCCACTGAGCCACCCAGGTGCCCCGACTTTAACAGCTCTTGACAGCACTCTCACACTATACATGTCCTGGCTTTCTCCTATAATTCAGCTACTGATCCATGACCTGAGCTATTCCAAATCTCTACTCTATCCACAAGTAGGTCAGGGGTATAGAAAGCTGAGGAAGGCAGTCTCACTCCCATAGCAACTGGTGCACCTACACATTTAAAGTGTCAGACCTCACTTGGGTCCTTTATTTGGCAGTCATGTCACGTGTTTCTGAAAAAATAAGAAGTTGTCACAAGTAATTTCTTATCTTCTCCCCTTTATAACCTTACACAGACATTTCTTCTTTCAAGCCCATCACTGTCACTCTGTCTCTAACTTCTGAGGACAAATGTCTTTTCTGGTATCTAAGGTTAATCTTTAGAACTCTTCTAGAGGATGTCTCCTTTCCTCTAGAATTTTCTTCCATCAATTTTTACCTTACTTTTCTATATCATCAACCTTTTCCAATTCCTCTCTCCCTGGCTTTTTATCCTTAGCTTATAAAACATGATAAAAATAAATTGTATTTTTAAATAAAGAAAAAAAACTTTTTCTTGTGAAATGTGTATTTTTCTCTAGCCCCCACTCAGCATCACTTAATAGCCAAACTTGAAATAATGGTCTCTGATCACCATCTGCTTCTTTATCTTTTATTTTTTGTTCAAGATCATGCTCACATACTACCACCCCCATTCACACATGTATATCACAGTGTCATTTTATTAGAATTTGTTAGATTGTGGGTTCTTTAGTAAGAATTTCATCTCATTTATCTTTGGATCTCAAACACCTGGTACTGTGCCATTAGGCACATAGTAAGAATTTCATTAAGTAATAAATGAGTGAGTTGCAAGAGCTAGCATATCTTTTAAAAAGGTGAGATATAGTGAACACACTTCAGTAGATTTTTAGTAATATTAGATAATTGTTTTCACATTTTCATTTTATAAAGGTGATGAAATACTCAGAGGTGGTATTTTTCCCCCAAATAAGTTTCAGAAATTTATCTTTTAATTATTATGATTATCTTATTTTAAATTATATTTATATAATTTTGTTATCAAAAAAATAAAGGGCGCCTGGGTGGCTCAGTGGGTTAAGCCTCTGCCTTCAGCTCAGGTCATGATCCCAGGGTCCTGGGATCAAGGCCCGCATCAGGTTCTCTGCTCAGCAGGGACCCTGCTTCCCCCCCCCCCGCCCCGCCCTCTGCCTGCCTCTTTGCTTACTTGTGATCTCTCTCTTACTGTCAAATAAATTAAAACAGTCTTTTTTAAAAAAAGATATAAAGCAAGAAAATTGCTACTTTCCATCCTCATATAATTTTTAAATAGATTAACTCTTTTTTTAATATATGTACATATAACAGAATCATTCCGCTCCGCCACATTTTCATATGGACCTGATGGAAATGGTTTTTCTCTTGGATGCAGTAAAAACTGGAGACAAGTCTTTGGTGATGAAAAGAAATACTGGCTACTTCCAATATTTTCAAGGTAATGTACAAAATGCAGGTCTCAGAAATTACAGAATCTATGATAGTCTGTCTCTCTGGTTAAATGGCTTAAGATTCAGAGAATACAGTATATAATGACATCTTATGAGCCTTGAGAATGAAAACTCAGAACATCTTGATTATATAAAATATTTTTCATGTTTTTTATTAAACTCTCCCAAAAAGAGTTTGGGCATATATTTGAATGGAAAGTAGAAAAAAAAGATGATTCCTAAAAATAGCAATCACTCTTTTTCCTTCAGGATGAAAATAAGTTGTTTGAAATAGAGAATCATAAGACTTTATACTTATTAGCTATATCTTCAAAGATTCTATCACACATTATGTATTCTGTTGTGTCTTAAAAGAAGACCCAACACATAATGCAATTTTTAACTTCAAATTTAAATGAAAGTATATCCTTGAGATGATTCAGTTTCCTTTTCTCCCAAATTCCCAGCCATCATAGGCCATCTATATCCAAAGTCATTACAGGAAAGTAAAAAATATTTGAAATTCAAGTGACATATTTATAAATGTTACAAGATTTTTCCCTCTTGTTTAGCTGTATTTCCTATATTTTTGTCTGAAAATAACATTTGCTTTCACTTTTGAAAGACATTTTTGCTTAGCATATAATTCTAGATACTGCTTCACTGTCTTCTGGGTTACATTTTTTCTCACAAGAAGTTTGCAGTCATTCTTTTTTTATTCCATATGTAATATGTCTTATTTTCACTCGGTGCTTTTAAGATGTGCTTTTTAGCACTAGTTTCATGCAGTTTGATTATGATGTGCCTTGCTATATAGTTGTCTTTATGTTTCTTATGCTTGGAATTGATTGAGCTTCTTGGAACTGCAATTTTATAACTTTCATCAAATTTGGAAAGTATTTTAACCATTATTTCTTTAAATACTTATTCTGTCATCCCCATCCCCCTTCCCCATTACTGTAGAGACTCCAGTTACATGTATATTAGTACACTTGAAGTTCTACCACAGCTCCCTGATACACTGTCCATTTTTCTGTTCAGTCTTTTTTCTGTGTTTCATTTGATAGATCCTATTGTTGTACATTTAAGCGCATCAGTCTCTTTTGTGTACTTTATCATCTCCTGTATTACAAGGTTTTTCCACACTGACTAGATAGAATACAGACTAGTATTTTTTAAAATTATTTTCTCTAAACCAAGATTTCAATATTGACTGGTTTGGTTTTGGTTTTTTTCCTTTTTCTTTAAAGGTGTTGTTCCATTAACTTCTGGCTTGCATTGTTTTTGACAAGACTCAGCCTCACTCTTATCTGTGTTCCACTGTTTGTAAATTAATATGTCTTTTTTTTTTTTTTGCCCTTTGGCTACTTTTAAGATTTTATCTTTATCACCAATATTAAGCCATTTGATAATTATGGTTTTTGGTATGGTTTCTTTGTGTTTATCCTCTCTAGAGTTCATTAGGCTTCTTGGATCTGTGAATTTATAGTTTTCATCACATTTGAATAATTTTCATGCTCTCCCTCCACTGGTTTTTGGGGCACTCTTAAATATACATTTGTTTAACTGCTTGATTGTGATCCACGGGTCATTGCTGTTCTTTGCTCCCCAGGCTCCATCTTTCTTCTCTGTCTGCTAAGTTTGGATAGTTTCTGTTGCTATGTCTATAAGTTCACTGACCCTTTCTTTTATGATGTCTGCTCTGCTGTTAAGCTCATCCAGTGAATTTTTATTTCAGATATTGTATTTTTTAACTCTAGAAGTTCAATTTGGTTCTTTTTTATATCTTACATTTCTCTTCTCATATCCATTTTTTTCCGATTAGTTCACAGACATATTTACAGTCACTATTTTAAAGTATTTGCTGGGGCGCCTGGATGGCTCAGTGGGTTAAAGCCTCTCTGCATTTGGCTCAGGTCATGATCCTGGGGTCCTGGGATCGAGCCCCACATCAGACTCTCTCTTCAGCGGGGAGCCTGCTTCCCTTTTCTCTCTCTGCCTGCCTCTCTGCGTACTTGTGATCTCTGTCAAATAAATAAATAAAATCTTTTAAAAAAAATAAAAAATAAAAAAAGGTATTTGCTTCAAATTTTCATAGTCATTCTTTTCTATTAACTATATTTTTCTTAGTTGTGAACCACATTTTCCTGCTACTTTTCATACAAGTAATTTTTTAAAAGATTTTATTTATTTATTTGACTGAGATCACAAGTAGGCAGAGAGAGAAGAAGGGAAGCAGGCTCCCTGCTGAGCAGAGAGACCGATGTGGGACTCAATCCCAGGACCCTAGGATCATGACCTGAGCCAAAGGCAGCAGCTTTAACCCACTGAGCCACCCAGGCGCCCCCATACAAGTAATTTTTTATTATATGGTAGACATTTTAAATTCTGTGTATTACATTTTGCTCTCTTGGCATCTGGGTGGCTCAGTTCTTAAGCATCTGCCTTCAGCTCGGGTCATGGTCCCAGGGTCCTTAGATCGAGCCCCATATCAGGCGTCCTGCTCAGCAGGGAGCCTCCTTCTCCCTTTCCAGCTCCCCTGTGCTTATATTCCCGCTCTCATTATCTCTCTCTGTCATAAATAAATTTTAAAAATAAATAAATAAATAAATTTTGCTCCCTTTGGGAGTTACTTGTGTTTTAGCTTGGTCCTTTTGAGGCTGTTTTAAGCCTAGATTCACATGTGTAGCTTAGCATTCATCAAAATGCTCCAGTAAAATGCTGTGCACTTGTTGTGGCCCTTTCTTTGCATATCTCCCTCTTCCTCAGCTCTGTCCAGTAGATTCAAGCTACTGCAACTTCTTGAAACACCCATCTCTGTCACCTCAGTTGATTGAGACTACCTTACTCTACTTTTTTCTCCTAGTGGTGCTCAAGTCCTGGCAGAAACCTGGGACTCGGTTGGTTTCTCTTTTTTCAGAGACCACAGTTCTGTGTTGTTTGTTTGGAAAAACATTACTGTATATACTCTTCGGTTTTCTGGTTGTTCATGACAGAAGGTCACATTTATCAGTTAATCCATCTTGGCTGGAGATGAAAGTCCCTGTTATACGTAATTTTAATAATTTTAAAATGTGAAATTAAGATATGTCCGTACTTTTTTTTAGATTGTAAACTTCTTGAGGGCAAAGGTTTTCTTCTCTTTTGTTCACTGCTATATCCCTAGTCCTGATAATAGTACCCAGGGCATCATAGGCATTTAATAAAATATTTGTCAAATGAATAAATATTTGGAACTTACATCTTGCATTTCAATTTGAGCTTCTTTGGTGTCTTAAATGATTGTGATGAGTAGGTCAGTTACCCAAATATTTGATTACCGGTGTTTGAGATATCATGATCTTAATAGGGAATCATAATCTTAATAAGCATTATAATGTCAGTCACCCAAATATTTAATTAGCCAACTTCCCAGATATTTGAATGTCTGTGTTTGAGGTATCATAATTTTAAAAGGCATCATAATCTTTTTTTTTAAGAGTTTTATTTATTCATTTGAGAGAGAGAGAGATCAAATGAGAAAGCACAGGCAGGGACCATGGCAGAGGGAGATGGAGAAGCAGGCTCCCTGATGAGCAGGGAACCCGATGCAGGGCTCAATCCCAGGACCCTGGGACCATGACATGAGCCAAAGGCAGCTGCTTAACTGACTGAGCCACTCAGGTGCACCAGGTATTATAATCTTAATAGTCATGAAAGATATTTTTTTAAATATATGTAAATTATAAGAGAAGACAGCTTATTTCTTCAGTGAGGCTAGTAACCCTAGAGAATTTTAAGAATTATTCACTGAAATGACAGATTATGATAATTTCCTTATACTATGTTTTTGAAGAAGAATGGTTGTTGAATTTGATCACCTTGATTTAAGTTAATATGACTTAAATTTATTACTGATATTTTTCATTTTGCAGCTTGGGTGATGGTTGCAGCTTTCCAACTCGCCTTGTGGGGATGGATCCAGAACAAGCTTCTGTTACAAATCAAAATGAATATCCTAGAAGGTGTGCTTCTTATCATTAAGTTTTTCATTATTCATTATAAAACAAACTGTGTGTATGTGCTGTACATACATATCTAGTAAATACAGTAGTAATTTGTAAGTCAACATAGATAGGGAAAGAGAAATTCTATGTAAAATTTTTTTAACTGAGAGCTAATGTGTGTGGGTACCTAATATGCTTAGTATAACCATACTTATTATCTTCCAAACCAGAACACTTGGAGAATAAGAAAGAGAATGCTTGCTTTTTAATAGTTGAACCAGGACAAACACATGTAACTGGAAATGTCTGGGCAAGCCAGGAAACACGGCTATCCTAAATATGCTACATCTTTCTAGAAACCAAGACATTCTTTCAAGATATGATTCTTGGTTTATATCAGCTATATTTTTTCAAAGAAATTAGTCATACTATCACCATTATATCTTGATAAACAAATTTAAACTGCAGTGTAAAAATAATAGGGAGGATTTTAAAAATATTAATGTAAAATTTTTTCTCATTCATTCATCTTAGAGGATACTTTTTCAGTATTTGCATGGTAAGCAAACCAATTCAAAAATTCAAAGAAATAGTTCATTTATGTGAAATTTTAAAGAAGTCAAAAAGATAAAAGTGAAATAGTCAAAATTTATTTAGGACAGAAATAAATTTGGGGGGGAGGAAGGGTTATAAATTCCAAGACAGTCTATTAGTATCAGAACATAGACCTTCTTAGGACCTTAAAACTCTTAACATTTATTATGCATCTGAACAAGTCACTTAAACTGTGTGAGACTCGGTTTCACTCGGTTTCCAGCTCTATAAAATGAGGATAACCATACCTACCTCCAAGGGCTATTGTGTTGACATAATGTGTTTAAAGCACCTAGCAAAGTATCTGGCCCATAGTAAGTACACAGGAAATACTAGATCCCTTTTCCTTCTTCTGTTCCTCCATTCCTTCCCTCCCTGGATCTCTTAGCAAGAAAAGTAAGTCTACGCTAAATCACTAAATCATTTTTTCCCCTTAGATCTAAACTGCAGAGGTAGAAAGCAGAAAACTTGGGAAATGACAGGTAATTTTTTTGTCCTGGCCACAGATATAGATCCTCACCTTGTGCTACCTTACAGCTCTTGATTAACATGTTTTAAAAGTTTCACACCGGCCTCTGAAGCTTTTTTCTTTTGTCTAATTGTTTTCATTGGCACTGCTGGAATATAGATTCTTGGGTTTAGAGAGCCATTCAGTTGGGGGTTGGGGGCATATTTTTCTTTTGAAGATAGAGTTTTTTTAGAGTGCTGAGATCTCATGAGTTGCCCTCACATATTTAGGAGAAGGAATACTAATTTGCTGCTTATTAATTAAGTATACTTGATTAAGCATTAAACTGTTTACTAAATTATTTCTTCCTCTTTTTAGTATTGGCTCAAATCAACCCTTTCCTATCAAACCACTTAGTGAATCAAAAAACCGATTGTTGGACAGTGAATCTCAATGGATAGAGAATGGATCTGAAGAAGGCACTGTCAGATCAGGTAATACTTGTCATTTGAAAACAGTGCTTTTTCTGGTTAAAATGAAGATCAACCAGATTTAACAAGTATGTAAAAATCAAAACAACATATTTTAAAATACTAAGATATGGGGCACCTGGGTGGCTCAGTGGGTTAAAGCCTCTGCCTTCAGCTCAGGTCATGATCCCAGGGTCCTAGGATCGAGCCCCGCATCGGGCTCTCTGCTCAGTGGGGAGCCTGTTTCCTCCTCTCTCTCTGCCTGCCTCTCTGCCTACTTGTAATCTCTGTCTGTCAAATAAATAAATTAAATCTTTTTAAAAATACTAAGATATGTGACACTTTTTAATAAAATACCTTACAGGGGCGCCTGGGTGGCTCAGTGGTTAAAGCCTCTGCCTTCGGCTCAGGTCATGATCCCAGGATCCTGGGATCGAGCCTCACATTGGGCTCTCTGCTCATCAGGGAGCCTGCTTCCTCCATCTCTCTCTGCCTGCCTCTCTGCCTACTTGTGATCTGTCTGTCAAATAAATAAAAATATTTAAAAAAAAATACCTTATAAATGGGGTGTCAGTGTTTATTGGTACCTTTTATGGAGAAGGAGGTTTGAGTGAGGAAGTATAGTGGCTCTTGCTGTGTTTTGTTCTGTTCAGAGTTGGGTATTTTCTTTTGTTACCCAGCCGCATACTTCTTTACCTCAGATATAGAAAGTTCTTTTGGCATTCTCTATTCTGAATAACATTTGAACCAGATTATTCTTTAGTGTCTTAACTTTTACTTTTTTGAAAATAACTTTTGAAATGTATTGTAGTCTTTGCTGCTTCAATATAAAAAGAGTGTAGCAAATATATTTTAACCTTTTCTTGATGACTCAATCTTTTCATGAATGAATTGTGGATGCATTATAGAACAGTTGATAAGTCAGAGGTGGTCTTTAAAACCAGATCGTGTTTATAACATAGCCTGGCCACCTAACAAGCATTATAGCCTCAAATATATGCATGGTGGTTTTCAACATATAATAACATTGTCATCATCTTGTACTGTGGGAAAATGTTTGGACATTCAGATCATTTGGTGCCAACTCGAGGAAATACCTTAAAACTTTAAAACTTACTGTGAGATTTCTGATTTTTTTTTTCTTTTTTGGCTTTTAGCAGCACTTAAATTATTCTCTTGAATTGGTATCATTAAGACCTTCATTAGGATCATTAGAACCCTTGTAGGTCAAGGGAAAGATTCATTTCATGGGCCTTGTAATTATTGCTGCTGAACATCTTTAAAAGCCAATGGACATTTTTACAGATAGAAGCATAAAACCAGACTTTCAGCTCTTAGCACTGCTTTACTTCTGGGTTCTCCAAGAGGATAAATGCTTGACACCATAAACCTATTTAGTGCTTACATAAAAGTTGCTTTTATTGTAATCATCAATTTTACCAATTAGCCAGAAACTTAATACTTCTTTTTTTTTGTCCTGTCATATATAATTATGTGCTTACAGGGACAAATAACCATGTTACAGTGGCAATAGGAAATTGAGTACCACTTGTTCATAACTAACCATTTGAATAAGAGCAAGGTAAGACAGTATAAAGGTAATTTTCCTTGAACAAATGCAATTATTTGCATATTTTATAATCTCAGAACAATTCGCAAGTCATTTTTTTTTTGCTCTTTTAATTATATCAGCAAAATTAGGTAGTTCAGAAGAGATTGGAAGGTAATAGCTGCTTAAATCCCATTTTTCTAACCACTCCTAGTGCAATCTTTGTAAATATGTATTGGTAGATTAATGAGGAAATTAAAAGCCAATTTGGGTTGATATGTGGACAACTAATCTTTTCAGTAAACAGTGTCTTGTTAATTAGTTTAAGAAAGAAGAGTGATTAATTAGGCTGCAGAAAAGACTGAAGAGGTTCACTTATAGGACTTAGTTGGAAAAGACTCAACAAAAGATAAGTTTACTGGACCCAGCCACACTGATGAGCTGTTCTCAATCTGGGTAGCCCTGAGACAATAGGCAGAGGAAATTAATTTAAATAGCAATCGAGGACATTCCAGACAGAGATTAAACATAAACTGTAGTATCGGCAGTGAGAGTAATGTAACTAAGTTGAATTTTGAGGGATGTAGTGAATCTCTGTCTCTTCTGATGCTTAGCTCAGTGACTCAGTAGCATTTTAGGCAGCTATTAGATTTTTTGAAATCTTCTTTATAGTGTGTATTGGTTACCTTTTGTTCCATAACAAATTACCACAATCTTAGCAACTTAAGACAACATCCATTTATTACCTCAGTTTCTCTGTGTCAGGAGTTCATTTTTGTCAAAGAGTTCTCATCTGGAGTCTCTATTAGAGGAACATCTGCTTCCCTGCTTAGTTCCCTACAGAGGACCCAGAGCCCATGTCCAAAGTAACAGCCAGAGGCTAAAACCTAGACTGAATCAGAACTCTCAGTGGGGGCTTGTGTCAGGCTGGACTCTGAAGATGAGTGGTGATATATCGTGTGGTGATCATGTCAGCCAGAACTGTGGCTGCGGTATAGCTCTGGTTCTAGGATTCTCAATGCAGTGTAGTCCTGGTTCTAGGATAATGTCTGATGCTCCACAACCTGTAAGTGTTGCTGTGGGTAATTCCTCATATCCTATAGCAGTCTTACAAAGAGGTAAATAAGGTATCTCCTCAGCTTATGTCCAAGTTAACATTAAGGGAGAACTGTAAAAATCTACCTCTTTTAAAATGCTCTCTTGATTGCTTCAGAGGAAGAAAGAGATACCACTCACTGTTCATAAAAATCTTCGTTATTACTACAATATTAGTAGTTTTAAAATATTTATTCCATCTCATTATTTTAGCAGCTTTGTACCTTAGTGCACAGAACTATTTAGTATACCTTTATTTTCAGAAATATAAAATCAAATTTTAACCAATAACTCAATTGTTTCTGGTTTTATAGGTTTATAAAAACATATTATGGACTGATATTTTCAGTTTTATTTGCAAGAAAATGATCAATGGAATGAAATAACTGAAGTATAAGAGAAGATATATTTTTTAAAAAGGAAGCCTTTGTACAGATCGCCGGATCCACAGAAGCACTACCCCAGCGCAGAAAGATGCCTTAATCTTAAATACACCCATTTGTGCTACATCAACTTACTGCTACAAAAGTGACTTAATTTTACTCTGGAAATAACACCCACCTGTTATGAGATGCTACACTATGAGCTATCAAGTCACATGTTAACAGAGTATATGTATTTTTTTGACATCTGAGTTAAATAATTAAGTGTTGTTTCTTAGTATCCATATTAAGTTTCACTCCTGAAACACAAGCTGAAAAGTTATCTTAAGTACATGTAGGGCAGTATAGTGGCTGAAGGTGAATAATAATATCTATTTACTGTTGCTTATACTGTGTAAGGAAAAGAAAATAACCTTTTTTTTATTGTGTGTTGCTGATTTATAATTACTGTTTTATACTTTTCAACATTTATAATAAAGTTTTTTATTGTTGGCTATAAGATAACACTCAGAAAGATTCAGATATCTAAATATAATTATTTAAAACATGGAGCACATTTGTATGATTCATTGATGGCTTAGTTCTAAGCATTAATATAACCATGTAATGTAGTGTTGTGCCTGAGGCTTAAAGGAAACTTGGCAGCATAGGAAACATTTTTGGTTCTCGCTACATTTAAATTACTTTTTTGTTGAACTTTCATGGGTATTTTTATGGTCAGGGAGTCACAAAGGCACATGTGCTATAGAAATATTGGACACAGAATAGTGGCCAATATTAGACTAATAGAAGAAAAGTAAAGAGGAAAATAGGCAGGTATTGTAAGCTGTTAAAAATTATTTATGGCCCCAAGGTATTGGCCCCAACATGCTGTTGACTTTCAAATGACAATTAAGTGATTACTAGAAATTACTTTGAAACTTTTTACAGTATTCCAGTAACAGCTTAAACAGTGACTGAAAGGAAGTTTGAACTAGGGTAAAACTGCTTAGTGTAATTCTGCTTTCTGGAAAGAAATTCTAACCTAAGCAGTCATTTAAGACTTCCAGTCTGAGCAGTGGATTCCACTCTTACACACAAAATTTTAAATCTGACTTTCTAAACACCAGCCCCTTTCTGCCTGGTAGACCTAGATCTCCTTTTTCTTTTGAAATGCAATCTAAGTGACAGGAATTGTTGCATTAATTTTAAAGGCAAATACTGTATCCTATAAAGGAGAAGCCAGGTAGAAATATTACTCCTCACGTATCCTGTTTGGTCAAATATACACAAACCAAAATGATTGGATTGTTTCCAGCATCGGGTAGAGATAAATCTTAACCAGCATCTGTAAATATCAACTGTTACAATTTCCCTATCTGTAACATGGAATTGGGGGGAAAGCGTGTTATGCATGAGTTGGACTAGGTGATCTCTCACATTCTTTGATTCTTAATTTTGCAAAATTAACCTTACATTTCATTCATCCAATAAATATTTTTGGAGTATCTTCTGTATGCCAAACATATGCTAGAGATAGTGCTATGATTTCCTAATGTAGCATATATTTTATACTCAGCTATTCCAGGTATTAGTTCAGAGGATTTGTCTAATTCTGTTGGCCGTACTAATACTAGATTTTAAAAGGAAGTTATGTGTTTTTTTTTTTTTCCTTTTGAACCAAAGGAACGAGTTAGCTTTGAAAATATAGTTTGGAATACTATTATTATGATTCTTCTATCTTTATTTCAACTTTGTCGTCCCAATAATCTTGACTCTAGAACTGAGAGTTAAGGGATAACAAAATATCACTTCATTTTGGCATTGTGTGTATTATAAGGAAATTGTGAATGTTTAAACCTACTTGACTACTTTCAGAATTATTCTTCTGGTACTTTTTGTGAGCATTTTTACATTTAGATCAAAGGATTTTCATGCATTTTCATGATTAACAATTGAGGAAACATAAATTTCCCCTTTAACCTATCCAGGCACTTTTGCGGTGGTGTATCCTTCTCTTTTAAGTTGTATTTCACCATCATCTTTAATAGCATAGCAAACACCTTTTCAGAAATTATCACTTGAAGCCTTTTGCTTTAGTTATCTTTGCTTTAATTTATAGCCAACATTTTGCCACATTCTAAATATTTGGCTGATTTATTCATACATATTACTGGTCGTTCAGCAAGGGCCTACAAGCTGCATGGGAGTCAGGGCAAGGCTGCCTCTTTGGTATTTGAACTGATATTGATTAGTTCTATCAACTCTTTGTGGGGGGAATGGTCAAAATGAAAGCCTTCAAAATGTATTAGTGCTATCTATGATCCGTCAAACACTTGGATAGTTGTGGTGTGATATTTAAGGAAAATAAAGTTGAATTTCAGGTCTTGCCATTGCCATTAAAGACAAAGTCGACAGGAGTCTTGGTTTTACCTGGGTAAAGATTTACTCGAATATTCAGTACCTGGGGCATCTGACCAATATCACTTTGCCAAACCAAAGAGCAGCTGCAGTACAGTAGTTATTAAACACAAACATGTTTACAGAGTTTAATTCCATCTTTACATTTGGATGATTTTTAAAAACCTTTTTACATATTGAATGGTTTTGATCCAATGTGTCATAGGTGAATTTAATTGTAAGGTTAGTTTAAATCAAATATGCAGCGTTTACTTGAATTTTAATTCCTTTTGAAAGATTTTGACTATGTTTACAGGATTGTTCAAGTCAAAGATTATCAGACACATGAGATGTCCATTCAGTAATCTTTAAAGCAAATGTGTAGTAAGGGCTTAGTGTTAGGATCTGTGTATTTGGGGCACCAAATAGACAGTGACTTACAAATATGTTTTGCTTATGTTTTGTTCTAGGACTAGCACTGCTATCAATGGAAACTATTTTTCAAATAACTAATCTGTTATTAAGAAATTAATCATATTTTTGCATTTCAGCCAAAATAAAGAACCATATCTGATAATTTGTAAGACATAGGTAATATGTAAGCCTGAAATCCATGTGTTTGATATGATCTGAACTCTATTTTCCAATCTAAATTAAAAATGCAATATAGAAAGGTCCATATTTTTCTAATGACTTCACTTTATATTATTTTGTTGGGTTGCATAAAGGCAAGGAATCGTATTTGTATTAAAAGATTAAGAAAGCTATTAGTCCAGTTTATTATATTTGTACATGACTGCAGATGAGGCTATGCCCATTTAAAAGAAAAGATGGACACTATTTTAAAGTAATCTTTAATATGTTTTTATAGAAACAAATTTGAAATACAGTTTATTTTGGTTGTCTTTACTTATCAAGTACTGTAAGTCCTGTATCCGTTTCTCATAAGTATAATCCTGGACCATGACTTAATATTAACTCTTTGCTTTGCCTTTTGGATGTCCTAATCTACATTAACATGAAGGCTGAACATTTTTTAACTTTTTTTTCAAAAATCATAATAATGATTTACTTTATTAATAAAATAAAGTCCTGAAAGAACAGGTTTGTTGTTGTTGTTGTTGTTGTTGTTGTTGTTGTTGTTGTTACAAAGTGGTATTTACAAATGAGAGAATAACTATTATTTTGGTCATGTTGCAAATTTGATAAAGTAGTGTTTAGAGAATTAGCTAATAATTTGGGAGGAAGCACATCTAAGACTATTTGAGTGCAGCAGTGTTTTAGTTTACATAGGCCTGAGGTATAGATTGCTTTATTCAAAAGGTTTTAAATTTGCTTTTACTGAACATAAGTTGATTTTCAATTCAAAAGTCACTTTAGGATTGTAAGTACCTTTGAAACCCTATAAGCATTGTTGAATTGTGGCTGTCAAAATGCTGAATAATGGGTTTTATCTTGTGTAGAATTCTTTTTGACATTATGTTATAATTCCCTTCCCAGTCAACAAAGTTTTGATATTTGAGGCTGCTGAATAAAACAGGAAGGCTCTGAGAGCTAGGATTCCCAGTTTTTAGACTAGCAAAATTTCAAAACACTCGCAGGAACCAGTAGAGATGAAGCAAACTTTATGGTTTTTTTTGGGGGGGGGGTGGTAAGCAGAGGGGAATTTAGAGCGATATGTTTGGGGTAGGAAGGAAAATAGACCATTAACTGGCCAAATGGCCATTTTGACACCCAAAGCACTAATGACATAATGCTAGCTCTACTTTTCTCACTTCTCATAAGCTATCTTTTCAGAAACATTCTGGAAAATTGAGTGATGTTGGCCTCTTTTATCTATCTTACAGTCATGCACCCCAGAATCTAGAGGAATGAGAACTAACAATTTTCTGTGTAACAGGTTTTAATGAATGTTTTAACACTCCTGTGAAGTTAACCTCATTTTCTTTAACCCTTCCATATCAGTGCCTTCCATCTGATACAGAGGATTTAAGTGCCATTTCCACTCCTTAATCTACCATCTGTTGTTCTTCAAGCAAGAATGTTACCTCTCAGCCCATTCACCAGTAAGGTAATTCTTTTCATCCAGGATTTCCAATCCAGTAGCGTGCTTCCATCACACTTCCCCATGACTCCAAACCAAGTTATTAGGGCTCTGTGCTGCCCAAAGGACTGAACTACCATTACTAATTTAGCCATATATTGGTCACTCATGCTTTCAAGACAGTTCTAGATTATAAATCCTTGAGGACTTTATTTTGATACTACCTACCCACAAAATGAACACTGGAGTTCAGAAAAGAATTGTAAGGAATTTCATGTTCATTACTCTGTCATGTCCCAAGTTCTCAAAGAAAAGCATCATAGCCTATAAAATTATCCCAAACTTGAAAAAGATTAGTCAAACAATCCTTGACACATTTTAGTGGAGATATAAATTTGTGGTGCCACATCATTGCAGAGCAGTTTGGCAATACCAAGTTTTCAAATGCCCATATTCTCTGACCTATCAGTTCTACTTTGGGGAATTTTGTAGATTTACTTCTTCACTGTGAACAGTACCTAAGGATATTAGTTGCAGAGCTGTTTGAACCAAGGGAAGAATGGAAACAGCATGTTCCACTGCTATTTATGGTGGCAGAACATTCACAAGAGAATTGAGGGTCAGGAATAGGTTACATTTCAGTTTGCCCTTTCATACTATTTTTATATTATGTGCACCTGTTACTTTTAAAAAAGAAAAATGGGTTAGGCATTCTAGATCAGTGAGGGAGAAATAGTTGTTTGAGATGTGATTCTGGACCAGCGTGCCAGCCATTTGGGAAAAAATGAAGTTGCTCTATCCTTCACATCTTACATCAGAACATATTCCACTTGGCTCATGAACTTAATTAAACATTAGAAAATGAAAACAAATGCTACAGCAAAAGCATGGGCAACAAATTCTATAATGGGCTTGGAAAGATATTTCTAAGTGGGCATGAAACTGCTGCTCTTGAAGAAAAACAGATTTGAGCACATGCAAATTTAAGAGGAAAACTAGCACTAAGGAAAAAATAGAGGTAGAACAAGAAATTCACAAAAGAAATAGGGATCAATAATTGCATATGAAAAGATGCTTGGCTTCATTAAATAAGGAAATACAAGTGAAAACACCGATAAGATTATTTTTGTCTAAGACAGCCAGTAGCCAGTTTTGCTGAGGATATGGGCAAAGAAGAATTTTGATGGGAATGTAAAATGAGTTAACTTCACTAAAAAAGTAATTTGGCAATATATGTCCAAGTTTCACTGTGCATAATCTTGGTACTGGCCACTGTACTCTTAGGAGTTTATTTAGAGATATGCACCTAAGGCTGGGTTTTTGAGAGGATTTTTGAAAAGCAG